AACGCCTCACTTCTGGATCAGGCTTATACGGTTCACTAACTTGGTTGCATAACTGTTAATGTAGTGCTTCGTGCCAAGCAAACAATCCAAGGTTAGAATAGTTTAAAAAACCTGTTAGCTGGATGAAATATGTGGTTCTGATGGCTGATCAGAATTCTTAATATGGGGTGGTGCATATACAGTTGCAAGAAAAAGTATGTGAACGCTTTGGAATTACCTGGAATTCTGCATAAGTTGGTCATAAAATGTGTTCTGATCTTCATCTAAGTCACAACAATAGACAAACACAGTCTGCTTAAACTAATACCACACAAACAATTATATGTGTTCATGTTTTTATTGAACACACCATGTAAACATTCACAGTGCAGGGTGGAAAAAGTATGTGAACCCCTAGGCTAAAGACTTCTTCAAGAGCTAATTGGAGTCAGGAGTCAGCCAACCTGGAGTCCAATCAATGAGACGAGATTGGAGGTGTTGGTTAAAGCTGCCCTGCCCTATAAAAAATACACACCAGTTTTGAATTAGCTATTCTTAAGAAGCATTGCCAGATGTGAACCATGCCTCGCACAAAAGAGCTCTCAGAAGACCTACGATTAAGAATTGTTGACTTGCATAAAGCTGGAAAGGGTTAGAAAAGTATCTCTAAAAGCCTTGATGTTCATCAGTCCACGGAAAGACAAATTGTCTATAAATGGAGAAAGTTCAGCACTGTTGCTACTCTCCCTAGGAGTGGCCGTCCTGTAAAGATGACTGCAAGAGCACAGCGCAGAATGCTCAATGAGGTGAAGAAGAATCCTAGAGTGTCAGCTAGAGACTTAAAGAAATCTCTGGCACATGCTAACATCTCTGTTGACGAATCTACGATACGTAAAACACTGAACAAGAATGGAGTTCATGGGAGGACACCACGGAGGAAGCCACTGCTGTCCAGAAAAAACATTGCTGCACGTTTGAAGTTTGCAAAAGAGCACCTGGATGTTCCACAGCACTACTGGCCAAATATTCTGTGGACAGATGAAACCAAAGTTGAGTTGTTTGGAAGGAACACACAACGCTATGTGTGGAGAATCCAAAGGGTTCACGTACTTTTTCTTGCAACTGTAACTATGGAAAGAAAACTAAGGCATTCCTAATTTAGGTAAATATGCAAACCAACAGGCAATAACTGACGAATGGCATGCCTAGCTTGAAGAACACCTTATATTAAGCAAGGCTTTCTATTTCCCGTTTTGTTAACTATAAGTCCCAAAAATACTCAATATTACAAAAAATACATTCACTGAACTGTAGTTTCTTCATTACACGAGCCTCAAGTTTTTTTCCATGCAAATATGTTGTGTATTTTCTTTGTATGAAAAGTTATGTTAAAAGTTCTAACTTTAGTTATAATGACCGATGCAACTTCAGAGAGTCTTCTTTGGGGCAGAAATAATAAAATGTATATAGACACTGTAAGTATTTGTTTATATTGTTTTATAGGTTTCCTGCATTTACAGATTAGAGCACTTGGCCTTGGTAGTTTCTTTATGTTTGCAGTTATACATTGACGGATGGAGAAACTGTCAAACTGCAAAAGTTGATCAAATGTGTGACCATATTAAACATGTCAGTATGATAGGATTAAACACAAAAATACAAATGTATTTTATGGGTCCTGCTATAAAGTCTTCTGTTGTCTCTCTGCTGCAGGGAACCAGGTGAGCAGCAGGCTGATGAGCATGCGCAGTGCTAACGGGCTCCTGATGCTACCTCCAAAAACAGAGCAATACGTGGAGCTGCACAAGGGCGAGGTGGTTGACGTCATGGTCATCGGCCGGCTATGATGTCATCACAGAGGGACGGAGCGTCGGCGTCATATAACGAGGGTTGGAATGGGTGGTTCACGGTGCATGTCCACATATCATTGACTATTCTGTAATATGCAACGGCACAGCTAGTTTTTATTGATTTGGATAACGTTGAGGTATAGTCAACATCTTGATCACAACCTAGATACATATGAAAAAATTAATTTAAAAAAGATTATAGTATTTCAAACAAAGAAAATATAACTTTTAATGAAAAAATCTAATTATAAAAAGAGATTTATTCTGTAATATATTATTATGATTATTCTTATTATTATTATCATTATTCTTCTTATTATCATTATTATATTAAGGCAACTTCGTTCCTTTCATTGCAATTGCTTTGTGTGTTCAATGCTAGACCTTATCTATAGCAGTAGCATTTTAATAGACAGCTGTAGGTGCCTGCCAGGACAAAAAAAGAAAATTATTATTTTCTCATCTTTAGTGGAAAAAAATAATCTGTTTTTTGAAAATGACGAAAACATTGAGGAAGACTCCAGATTTCCCACGGTGCTCAGCTAAAAGGAAGAGGGGGCACATCAAGACCACTTCCTCTTTTGAGCGCCTATCAAGGTGACACTTCTGTTTTTCTCTCATTAGTATGCATCATATTGGCTTCACAAAGAGCTTTGCTTGTTGTTTATCTTGTGAGTCTTGTTTATGTGCGCAGTGCCAAATGCCTGGGCAGGGAAGAGGTGATGTTGGGATGGGGAGGTGGGGGGGGCACACCCCAGTCTGCCCAGACCCTGAAGCTTCCTTATATTCACGGTGACCGGGTGTAAACCCTGCCCTAACCCCCCCCCAGGGGCAGGCTTAACCTGGGAAAAATAATCTTTTATTTGATCAAATATTTAAGAATAAAAAATGAAAGAAAAGAAACAGCTTCTTTAAGTGCTGACAGCCTTTTTAACCAACTTCACAAAAAATGTACAGAAAAAAGAGAACCATATTGTACAGATATATGTGACCAGCACTCCTAAGGAAATTATTAAGCAATGAGGAGACATTGAACAACGCTGTACTATAACATTTTCTGTAATGATATGAAACTGATGAAAGAGACTAAGATAATAAAAATCCTTGATCATTATGTAAAAAAGTTCTTGTTGGTTTTCCTTTTTTAATAAAATATATCGAAAGAAAAAAATAGTGATTTTCTTCTTTGGTACTAAGTTTGATAGCCTGAGGTTAGAGAAAGTCTGTGAATTATGATTGAGTAATGGTCTTAAATTCCTTACACACTGTTTTCAAGGTCCATGTGGAGTCAGTTCCCAATGTGCTTAACTGCATTAACGTTTTCCCTCCTTTGCATTGGTGGAAAGAAATGTAACTACTATAGTTTGTATTCATAAAATGTTGAGGTACTTGACATGAATATTTCCATTTTATGCAACATTATATCTCTAGTTGTTTATTTTTCGAAGGGAAATTGTGTACTTTCTACTCCACCACATTTATTTAAAAGGGAATTTTATTTTTCTTGACTTTTTACAAAAAGCAGGGTCAGGTTTGGTTCCTTGTCCTGTTTTGGGTTGTTCTCTTTGAGTTGTTAACAGCTCTACCGAAGACATATTTCATTTCTAGAATTCTCTTTTGGTTTAATTTAAATGACTGAGTCCTTCGGAGTTAAAAAAAAAAGAAGAAGATATTTGAGAAGTTAAGATTAACAAAAGTCCCAAAATGAATGGAAATGTGTGCAGTGGGTACTTTCCACCAAAGCTTCTTAGACGAACAAGGAAAAAACAGCTGCATTTGAATGAAGCACTGCAAAGCAAAGGGGATTTTAGCTGTCTTTGTTTCTAGGAAGGTAAGTATTTAAGAATCGGAAACTGGCAGGAGTTATCCTAATGAGGAAGAGAGGTTAAGCACAGAAGTGTCAAAAGGGATTAACCTAATAGAAAATACAGCAGGAAAAGGCAGCCTCAGGCTTTGGTGTAGATATTTCTGTGGCTGTATGAGATTAGACCATTTCTGTTCTGCTCTGCCAGGTAGAATGACAGTAGATCCCATTAGTTGGTGATGATTAATGCTGTGACATGAATTTAGTTGAATTAATCTATGTGTATGAAATTGATGGGATGTTAGGGGATTAATGACATCGTGAAGACGATTGTTGTAATAACAGTGAATGTGTTATACTCTCAATGGCAACATGCATGTGTGTTATTAATGACAGGGTAACAAGAGATCTTCCAAGCATTTTGTGGTTTGATAAGAAATGCAGGATGATCATTGTTGGCTACATTAGATTAAAATCTTTAATGACCACACAGCCAGGCTGGTGGGATTCGTGTTCAGTGCACAGTATTACAGCTTGTTCCATACAATTCAACATACAATAAACAGACAATAAAAAGTACAACACACAGCACAGGGCAAAGACATATCATAACATAAAGTTCAAGGTGTGGTGGATTGTTATTGTTCATTGGGGTTATTTAGAGTCCATTTAGTGTCCGTATTGCAAAGGGGGAAAAGCTGTTTTTGAAGCGGGCGGTTTTGGCGGACCTGTAGCGCCTCCCTGAGGGCAGAAGTTGGAAGACATGGTGACCTGGGTGGGAGGGGTCAGAAATGATTTTCTTTGCCCTTGTGACAGTTCGTTGGTGGTGAAGTGATTCGAGTGATGGAAGGGGACTGCAGGTGATTTTTGATGCTTTATTGATGATACGTTGAAGTTTATTCCGGGAGAGGTTGTCTGAACTGCTGTACCAAATGCAGGATGATCATTGTTGGCTACATGCATTACAGGAATAATACAAGTATGTCAAAATAGCATCTGACTAATTGTTAGATTTCATCACTGTATAAAACATGTTTAGTGTATATGTTGTTTACAGTTGTGAAGAATAATATGTTAAGCATGTTTCACCTGCAAAAGGCATTGGTTTCTGTTGAGAGCAATACAAAATGTAGCACTCAAAGGGTTAGCCCATGAAAACAAATCAGTGGTTTTGGCTTTCTTGAAGCGAATAAACCTGTATGTTTCTTGTTCTGAGTTATATTGTTTATTGCACTTATTGTAAGTCACTTTGGTTAAAAGCTAATGAAATGTAAAAAAAAGAAATGTATTGGAACAGCCCACTTTTTGGGGAGGTGAGGTAATTCCGTGTCTGGCTGAAGGGGGTGCTGTGGAGCCGCAGTGTTGCCAGGGAGACGACGCAAAACAGCAGTTCCACAGCGATGGCCACAAGTGTCCCGACCGGTCCCGACTGAACCCGGACTAAACTCACTGTGGAGGCTGAGCGCGGAGCTGAGAGCACCGGGGGACACTTCACCGCATCTGTGTGAATAAAAAAATCCCAGAGCTTTGGACTATAAAGGAGTAGCTGCTTCGTGCTTAAAGCCACTCAACTTGCTGTCTGTAAAGTGGTAAGTCTGTTACGGGACAGCTAACTTTTACCGTTAAGCTACGCAGTTAGCGGTACCCGGATGCTAAGCTAACAGTTATCCTGATTGCAATTGTTAATATAAGTCGAGTATTTTGCAGTAAAATAGCAACAAGGTGTTTTTTAATCTGCTTTTGCTGCTCTGTATGAATGTGCAGTATCATCATGGCTATGTTGTGATGTACCAAGAACCCGATAATTACTTCTACACAAAGACTCTGTAATGCCTTTGGTGACTCATTGAAACATCTTCATTTACCGTACCTCAAGCCAAGCCAGCAGCCGCTAGTTTTAAAGCACAGAGAGCTATGATTAATGCATGAGAATGTTTTCTGGTTTCACCCTCAGGATGTGTTTTCATGTAGCTAATTTTAGCCAGAGATATATCTGATGGTGAGGGCGGTTAACCGACCGAAACTCAGCTGACTTTCAGTGATACACGTACTATTATGTGGACATATTGTAGTAGCACTAACAAAAGACTACTTCTTTGAGAGCTGTAACTGATTGACATTTATACAAATGCCTTTTTGACCTTATTCTAAAATCAATAACTCACTGAGAGGAATTTGGATCTATTTACTCTGGTTAAGGATTAAAGAGTTATGCTGTTATGACAAAAAGGGGTGGATATCCCAAGCCATAGCAGTCATTCATAAAATAAAGTGTATATGTTTCTGTGTTGTACTGGTTGCTAAATCAAGTCTTAATCTGTTGAAGGCATCAAACATATAGGTTGGTTTGTTTATAGTCTTTATACCATAGTTTTAAAAAGTATTCCAGCTTAGGACATGTCTATGGATCAATAGTCTGATACTCTAGCAATATTTCACCCACACATTCTGGATTGATTGTAAATGCTTGAACTTCACAGATATATTGAATATTTTCTTAGTTTGTGGCTGTATTATTTTAGTTTGTATTTAATATGTTTGGCCTTCCAATGTAACCTCAGACTGATCTGACTGTTGCTCTCTGATTTAACATCACATGACACTTTTAGCTCATTTGCATCAATTTGACTAATCTCTGGAGTCTTGCAGTGGCTGAACACTTGTACCATATACCTATCTCACACCAAAATGTTTATATTGCCGTGTCTAGGTAGGTCTGTGCACTTCCATTCATTCTCCATCATGTACCCAGTTCCCCCCTAGTTATTCCCAGCCTCCCTCCCAGTACTGTGGTGGCCACTGAGCTGAGTAGGGCATGAGATCCAGGCTTAATTAAGCCCACAGGAACAGATGGCCCGCTGGCAGTCTGCTGTTTGTCAGCCATACTCCGCCGCTCTAAACAGAGCTAAATGCTTGTGCAGGGGAGGGGTTTGGGAGCTTCTTCCAAGAGCCGGGGGATAGATCTGCCAAATGTAATTAGCTGTGGGAAGTAGGTAGAAGAGGGGGAGGGCTGCCATGAGGTAACAGGTGACATGTGTCTATGACATGGATTGGTCCAGCCATTGTTTATCCTTTTCATGCGTGCAGATTTTCCCCCCATGCACACAGAAAAGTGTCTCTAAATGTTCACAAGTTATTATTATTTTCACAATTGAGGTTCCAGGAAATATGCATAGTTACAGGTGTGTATTTTTTAAAGAAATAAATAGTCCAGAGAAAGGGAGCCTTACCTAAACCCCTGCATACCATAAGCTAATATCATTATGTGAAAAATGAAGACTTGCTTTATTATTTTCACATGCACAGAACACTTTTCTGTTTCTGTTCTTGCAACAGGATTTTCTTTCTTTTTCCACTGACTGAATAAACATAAGCTCCAAGTAAACTCTTCCAGTCATACTACTTCATTTGCTTCTGCACCTTAAACCTTCAAATAGATTAATCCATCTGCGTAACAATGATAGGAGATCAGGTTGTAGTAATTGTATGTCAGGCTTCAAATTAGAACACAGGATCTTTATCCGGGCATCTGGGCATTGGCTTCGGACTTTGATTAAGCTGTTCATGAGGATGGAACCGTCGGGGACAGGTGTACCCGAGCGAGTGGCTGCATGATGCTGAACTGAAGGGATTTCAAGTGACGAAGGCCAGAGAGCTTTCCATGTACGAGTAAGATTAGCCGTGTGATAGATCAGAAGATTAGGAGTAAATGTTGGCCTTGATCAACAGCCAGAGACAACAAAAACAAGTATAACAAAGTAAGTAGGACTTGTTCTTTTAAACAAACTATATATAATAATACATTTACACTGTCAAAAATATTAAGAGAATGGAGCTTTAGTCATAATAATGGTGATTTTTCTCTGATAGACTTTTATAGATTAAAAAATTAATAACCCTCATATAAAATTCAAATAAAGCCAGATTAACCCTTCACTGCCTTTTTAAAGTGTAGAAAAACTAAAATGGCCCCAGGGGTAATCCGCTCCAACACGCAATGACTTCTTCCTTGGCTTCCTTCCCTCAGCTGCACTGCATTTCCTGAAAAGTGGACCAATAGGGTTTCAGTAATCCTGCTGAAAAAAAGACAGACGGACAAACAATTTGAACCAAAAACATAACCTCCTTGGCACAGTTTAAAAAGATTGTTTTGGTAACCAAGGCTCCAGAGTTCTGCAGTCTCTTCAGGATTGTCAATCGCCAAACTGGTGCATATCTTTTTGTAACCCTTCATATTAGGTTTATCATTTTTTTTAATAATGCGATACTGTAAATGCAACGGGCCAAAAATGTAGCCCCTTTATCTTTTTCTAAATGTTGTTAATTTAAAGAGATAAATATATGTTTGAATGATATAAACCATTGTGAACATTAAAAAAACAAAAAAAAGGAAATCTATTTGAACTCCTTCTTTGTTTATTTCAGGATGACAGATCACAGAAAGAACATCCTCCGCTGGCGTGCTATGGCCTCTGTATCGAGCAGTGCTTCGGATCACCTGGGCAGACCTCAGTAAACTCCGGGCTGGTTTGAGCTGCAGGGATGATCACCTCCCATATGAACGGTTATGTGCAAGAGGCCTCTGGTCAGGCCATGAGCCACAGGGAGAGGGCCGTGGACTGTCCGGGGGAGGAGAGCAGCATCGTCAAATCTCCCCACTGCAGCGCCCACATGGAGAGGATCCAGCACTACCAGGAGGAGCTGAGGAAGAGGAGGGAGGAGGAGGGCAGGGGGAAGCACGACATCGACCCCAACGCTTCACTGCGGCTCAAGAAGCTGGCACAGAACCCCAAGGTGGGCATAGACAATCCCACCTTCGAGGGGAAGGAAAAAGCCACCAAAGACACATGCTCCCTGGATCCTTTAGCCGGTGAGTTGAAAGGAGGAGGGGGGGGGGGGGGGGGAGTCTTTCCTGGGGTGAGAGAGGGTGGAAGGAAGGAAAGAAGGTCATCTAGAAGAAAAGGGAGTTTTACAAACATTTAGTGAAAACAAAAGGATGGAAACAAAGACTATTGAGAGTGCAGGGCGGAGGAGGGTGATGTCATTCAGGAGCTGTCCATCACTTCCTCTGGTTAGCGCCAACTGTACTGAAACCCATCACTTGGTCAACATTTGAATGTGTGTAAAGACATTTATTAATTGTGTGCACGCAATTGGAGAAGGTTGGGTTCATTGTTTAATCAGTCACTCAGCACAATTAGGTATTGCAAAGAGTGTGTAGTGAGAGCAGAAGGGACGGTTGACTACCATGCAGAAGATTACCTTGTTTTTATACAGCAAAATGACATACCCCCTTTTTTAAACAAATGCAGTGATGTGTGATATTCACATGTTTGAGGTCGGCTTGAATGTGTCAGTGCACCTGTGACCCTAAACATGGGTTTCCGTAGGATACAGTTTATTATACTATTTGACTACAATAGGTATTGGTGTTGTGTCAACCTGGGCCTCTCATCTACTATTTAAACCTGCTCTCATCAATTTATTAAACATTACTGTGGACTGGAGAGCTAAAGTTGTTGAGTCCTATAAAATGTAACCGTCTATGAGCTAGGGCTGCTCGATTATGGCAAAAATCATAATCTCGATTATTTGGGTCAATAATTGATATCACGATTATTAAAAACGATTATCCATTTACTTTGAAAACATCCATTTATTGCAAACAAATATTTCAACTATGTTTTTAACAGTTGATTACCCTGAACTTTAAAGTGGACCATCATGCTACATTTTAATAATATATTGTAGGGCCATACCTATATAAAACATGTCTGCGAATTTTATTTTTTTAAAATACCAAACAGATCATGCATTTTAGCCATGCCTCATTTCGCTCTATTTGCTCTTTTCCAGCCCTGTTTTTGCAAGGGCTGATTCTGTGAGAAGTCTTCTTCGCTGCTTTTGTGGCAGACTACAGCGCCACCTACAGGCCTGGTATATGTACTACAGGGTCTCCAGCGCTTTCGAACGGCTATGGCCGTGGCTCTCTCCTCCTGATAGGTGGACAGTTGCCCATATAGGCGGAGCTCCTCGTTTCTGACATCAGAGATATTTCAAATCTATATCAGTCTGTATCAAATCCGTTGGAGCCCCATTTTTAGAAATTTGGGTATGGAGGAAAAGAGAGAGGGTTGTGTTTTCTGACACTTGGTGAGTTCCCTGACACACCGGGGGCACATATTCATGTATAAAAGACGTACAAAAGTGCATTTTGCATGATAGGTCCCCTTTAAGTATAATTCAACTGAAAAACCAATAAAAAATTAAAATCGTTTTACTTCGATTAGGTTGTTTTCATAATCGTTGCAAGCCAAAATCGTAATTGCGATTAAAATACGATTAATTGAGCAGCCCTATGAGCCGTGATACAGCTCCAGTGTATACACTGCAGCAACTTCAAGCCTCAAAGTCTGACTTGAATACAAACCAGGACTAGGGATCAGAATTGTTCACCTCAGTAACAGCTTGATTTCTCACTGGAGGAGAAAAATCCCACATACTGAAAATCTTCCGCACTTAAAAAACACACCGTTCTGCCCTACATGCATTACACAGCTGATTATACTGTGATTAAATTGCACAAGTTGTCTGTAAAAGGATGTTTGATATATAGTGCTGTCATGTTTGCACCTCTAAAAGTCACCATAACTCTTAATTAACCCTTTAAATACTGACAGGACACCCACAACTATGAGCACTCGTAAAATACAAGATGTAAGACGAGTCTCTGTTTTGCCTCTCTGCCGTTCCCCTCACTGTCTCTGCCTCTCTACAGAAGTGGCGGAGGTGCTGCAGGCTCTGAAGTGGGCGCAGCACTGCCTGCACGACGCGCAGAGCCAGCAGGATGTGGAGCTGATAATGCAGCTCGTTGTCAAGGAGGACTTCAGGAATGCCTTCACCATCTACAGCGCTGTGTCCCAGCAGATGGCCATGGTCAGCCCCACCTCGCCCCTCACAGCGCAGGCAGAGGATCTCTGCATGGAGGTACGCACAATGGTCATTTTGAAAGAATGCGTTGATGCCGAAGAACTCAATGAAGCATCAAAAACAAATCTTTGCTTGAGGTGATGATTCATTCAACAAAGCAGTTAATTGTTATGAAATGTAAATTGTTTAGTGGTTAACAAGGTAAGTGAAAACCAAAATGAAGGATTTGCTGGATCCGTGCCTTGCATGGAAACTTAGTGAGCAGGAAAAACACTTGAAAGAAAACCTTAAAGTGAGGGTAAAACACAACAGGGAGATCTACTCCTTATAGACAAGGAAGGAAAAGGCTTTAACCAATACTTAAATATAAGGTTTGGTATTCCACTGGTTTTGAATGAGACTGTATAAGACATCATATTGTTCTATTTTATTCCCATGTCACCTATAGGTGTTTTCTCTTTGAATAACAGTCGATAGTGCTGACAGTACAGAGAGTGACAGAGAGCAAAACACATCTTATGTTCGACTAGGTGGGAATTCGCCACACCTGACTCTCGTTGATAAAACACAAGCCAGTTGGTCTCCACAACAGTAATTGTCTTGTGTCCCTGCCGAGCCGAGCCTCTACATGTCAGCTGTTTAAACGCAGCCTGTCACTCAGAGCTCGATCCCTGTCAGGAGACCGAAATTGTGATATAGTTTGCTGGGAAACACCCAAAAGCATCATTAGGATTAGTTTCCACTTTTGACAGGTGTAACATGAAAGAATGTAACACAGCGCAGTCAGAGTGGTGCAGGGTGATGTTCAGCTGATAGCTCGATGTGTAAGAGTCAACGTTTTTTTGATGGAACAGGCTGCGAGAGTTCATTCAAAGGACACTAAGCTGTTCTGCTACATCATTTGTATTCCAGTCTTGACAAGTGTGGTGTAAGGATAGAGATGATCTGCTTTGCTTTAAACACACACATGTTATCAGTGTGTGCGCTCACCCACCACCAGGCACAGCTCCCGAAGCGCTTAACAACGCGTAACAGTTTGAGCTGCAGTGTGTCTAAACTAAGTGGCTGTGCTGTGTGACACTTAGGTTGGGCTGTTGGGTAAACTAATCTCCCAGCAGCCCTTGGTGCGGGCCGAGCGGTGCAGCACACTGCAGGAAGGAGGCCAGGATGTTGGGCGGCTAGAAAAAGAAACTCAGGCAGCTTACATCAGTGTGGGTGAAGGCGGGGGGGGGAGTACGTCACCTTGTTAGTGAGAGCGTCAATCAGTGTTATGGATTGACTAAGCTGCAAACATGCGGCAGATGACAGAGGAAGACAACACAAAGAAGGCCTCCTGTTATGATTCGGTACAAGGTCTGTGACAAAGACAGTGGCATCTTCCCGCTAAATGTCAACACAAGAGCCACAGGAACCAAATGAGAACAATTGAACAGAGAGGAAAGTGCAACGTCCGAAGAGATGAGAGCTGTGAAGAGCTTTCCAAGTTCCTTATTGTTAGGAATGCTACATTTAGGGTGTCACATTTATTTGAGTATTTACTTCATTTAACTGTGTACCAAGTTAACATATTTTAATCTATATAGCTTATTTGACAGTTCAGTGCTCAACTCCATATTTAGACATTTGTGGTGTTCACTTTTTCAGCCTTAATGTACATAATATGTTTCCTTTGTCCTTATACAGTCTACTGTTGGTTTTGGTGTTGGGGCAACCTATGAATACACAACGAACATTACTGTAGATTATAAACTGTTGCAGAATATAAATCCTGGTTGAAAATATCAATGTAAACCGAGAAGACGATTTGCAACTATCGTAAAGTTGAATTGTGATGCACCGATCCTCAAATAACTCGGTGCGGAGGGAAAGAGCATTATCATAACCCACTCACAGGGGTTTTGAACGTTTTGGGATATCTCATCTCAAATGAAACTGAGACATGATGTTTAAAAGTCGACAGTGTGCCCTGAGGTTGGGGCCGGTGAATCACCAAATCCCAAGAATGCCTCCTCTGGGGGCATTGATGTGTTCAGATGTCTTGACACACATGGCCTACAGCCAGGACATGCTGGGAAATGAGTAATTTGTCCGACGTGTTGTCTGACCACGTCAGATATCAAATGTATTTATACCTTTTCCAAACGGCCAGATTTAGAGACATAGAGGTGGGGGACGTCACGATAATTGTTAGAGATTTAAATCACCATTTTACTTGTCTTCAAAATAACATAGTTCTTGACAGGACTGTGGTTCTTACTATTAAGACTCTAAACTTCAAAATGAAATTAAGAGAGTAGAGATTTGATCATAGTTACATTGAAAGGAGCCCTATTTTGCTTGTTGGGGTGACATGTTACCTGTAGTGTGTTATATAGGTTTTTGTGAATGTCAATGGTCTGCAAAGGCCCAGTGTTCCCTCCACACACACCTCCCTCTACCTGAAACGCCTCCATTGGACTATACTTCAGTAACATAGTGACATCAGAGGTTGCGCTAGACTTTTTTGCTGCCTGTCATTTTGACGGGCAGGATCGTAAAACTTCTGTCAAAATCCAAAATTACCCGTCGGCCTTTACACAACTCTGACGGGGGGGGGGGGGAAGCATGCTCGTGCAAACTGTCCCCCCCGAGTTTGTTCTAATCTGTCAAAATGAAGGACTGCTTTCAGATTTGTCCGTCATTGTTAAAAAAAATCCGTCATAGACGGAAAATATTCGGTTAACGCGACCTCTCTCACTCTTCTCTCGGCTAGCGCTCCAACAAATTGTGTCTGATATTATAATAATAATAATAATAATGGGTTCCATTTATAAAGCACTTCATATTTGATTTCAAATCCCGAAGTGCGATATGCTAAGGTGGCGGCGGTTGACCAATCACGGCAGAGCTTCCAGCTAACCAATCAGAGCAGACCGGGCCCTGGTTCCCTCACCGTAGCTGTGTGTCTGTGTGTTTTAGGTCCAGAGGATTCTCCAGGCCAGCCATCAGAGGGAAGGCTTGGAGCTCAAGGCTCTGCTCACCAATCCTCATCTCCAGGTCAGATGTCAGCCTGCCAGTTGTGCCTTAAGAATACGATACGATATACTTTATTGTCCCCGTAAGGACATTTGTTCTGGACTCCGTCCTGCAGTTCCGCATACATGTACATAGTGGACATTAAGAGACATACACATATCATCAGTCATACACCGTTTGAACAAACACAATACACAGACGCACATACTGACAATGGCGACCTATTGCACTAACCCTCATGGCCAACATTTAAAAAGTACATTTCATTACATTTGACTACATTTCATTTCATGTGAATGTTAAGAAGCTTAATGGACATAGGTAGGAATGAGTGCTTATAGCGGTTCAGAATAATAACCATTGATATTATTATAATTCTTAACAACGAGGCTCAGCAGGGCCTTATAGACCAACTCATTCATTTAGTTAATATGCTAATGATTGAAAAGGTGAAATATAATTATTTTTATACTGTAGAATTCCAATAGGGTAATTGTTTCTTTTGCACCTTCCACTGGGAGGTCAGAAGTCATGGTTAAGTTAATAGTCTATTATAAGACTATTCGACTCTGTCTCGTTGTGTCATCGTAAATAAATACAGAGAGGAAAGGCCGATCAGATGTCATAACGCTCCCTCCTGATACATGCAGGCACTTTGTGAGGTTGTGTCACGTTGGTGTCCCTTTTTAAGTTTGCTTAAGGATGTATGGGCAGGGCAGATGTTTGCTTTACAAATTAAATAATTAAATGATAGATTTACCTTCCTGTAATTATTATGAGTTGTTATAGTGTGCGAAAGTCCCATTTTCAAGGTCAACTAGTCCGTGTTTCGTTACGAAGATGAATCTAGTAGGTGACTCGGGAGAGACCTTATGTAAATGAGGTTGTAATGTTGGCCAGCTCTTCGTAATGAAAAAGCGTTATCAGTATAATCTTTGCCAACCAATTTCATTGAATAAATTAAGAAAGTAGGCAATCAGGGATGTGTAAGATCGCATATTTTATAGATAGCATATTTAAAAATGTCTCAGCAGTAGTTTAGTTTATATAAATGAAAGATTGAACCCTTAATAAGGTTTGCTCTCATAGGTGCAAGCATTATTCTCCTGAGAAGGTGGGGGCTTCTTTTAAATGCAGTAATGTTCGCAGACAGTTGCTGGTTTATCCACAGAGTATCTAAGATAATAAAATAATGTTATTATCACAGGAATATCCACATGAAAAGCTTAATTTAACATTGTGAGCTGCAGGTAAAGCGAGCAGGCATATAAAATAAGGATTTAGGGATATTGTATTATCAAAGTGGGTATAATTTACCTTAGCAAAGAGGTAGAATACATATAAAATGTGGAGTGTCAAGAGGTGTAAATGTAACATTGAAATCAGCATGTTATTTATTATTAATGAATTCAAATCAATTCTATAGAATATTCTATACAATATGAGGCTGATGTGACTGTATATGAAGAAGATGGATGTGCAAAATATTGACTAAATAACATTCAAATGTTCACAGTATAAAAAAGCAAACCTCTGCCTCAGTGGGACATCTGTTTAGCGTTAGCTCTGTCAACATTAAAACAAAGAAACGGATATTTAAACTGCATTGCTTTGAAGTGGCTTGAATTTGTCACTTTAAGGTTCAGTGAACCTTCTGTAGAAGAAAAAAAAAAGCCACATTATGAGACATCATCGTCCATTAGAGAGGCAGTAAGGTGAGAAAGGACCGCAGGTGCTGCTACTGTGATGTCACGGTTCAGGGTTCTGACAGGGCAGCACCGGGGGGGCGGATGCTTGACCTGCGTGACTGTGTGAACCACAGATTCTCTCAATGCCCTGTTAGCCCCTCCACTGAGCTGGATCCATGTAGCCGGGGGGGGGGGGATGATGAGATGAGCCTGGTGGCACAGAAAGTGGAACAGATTATGTTGGTTTCTCTGCAGGGGGGCTCACACGAGTCACCCTGTAGTGTGTACAGGTAAACAACAACACATCCAATACCCAGGTACATGTGTGAGAGGGAAGGAGCCCCATGGAGTCCACCCGTCTACTTTTCAACTGTTCCTAACATACAGCTTCCTGAGCCAAAGGTGTTTGGTGATTGATGGTGGTGGATCCTGACTCCTAAATGCAGGTGGAGATTAAGACGGATTGTGTGTACGCCAAAGCTTAGCCCGGCCTCCTCTCTCAGGTCCCCTTGCCGCGGGATAGAGAAAGTCATTTGGACAGACGGTTATTAATTGTGTGGTTCGGAGCGCGTGTCACATTAGATGAAGTGAAGCAGCAATCTCTGTTTTACTTCTGGCTCCGAGGTGGCTCTGCTGACTGGTCTTGTTAAAAAAGATTCGGGGCAGGTGCATGTTTAAGGAAATGTTTTTTTTAACTTCTTTTCATTTGTTAATGCCAACCACTATATTGTAATACATATTGTAAACGTATCATTTCATTTTCATGCCAACCGTGTTATAAAAGATCTTTACAAGCACAATATTATACTTTATCTTTTTGTAATTGAAATCTTTATTGTCACAATACACATGGCATTAACATGCTGGTTACAATCATAACAATCATGTGACAAAAGGCCAGCAAATACAAATCAAATAAAAAGCTAGGGATATGTCTTCTTGTTATTATAGTCTTGAAGAAACATGTATCTATTAGCTATTGTTCCAGTCAGATGTCTTCGTCTCGTATAGAGTCCGTTTGTCCCGCTTTCTGTTGAGTTGTGGTTCTTTCCTAGTGATAGCTTTCTTGCTGGATGTTAGCATAATTTTGATCAAATATCTGTCACTTGCAACAATTTCCTCAGTGAATTTACATAAACAGAGTACCAAACAACTATTAGAAACCTCATACTCTATTATTGACATATTCCCAATATTAAACCTTTTAATCGTATTCCCATTACCTAACGCTGCCGCCTCCTTTATGTCTTCTGTCTGTTTGTAAAACGTCTGTGTGTCCGCTCTGCGTGTCTCTCCATGTGTCTCTGTGTGTGTTCGATGTGGCAGGCCCTGATGCAGGCTCATGACACGGTGGCAGGGCAGGAGATAGCCGAGGAGAGTGTGGCCCAGTACCTCGGAGAGACCGTCAAACTGGTGCGTCTGCAGAAGGCCCGCGACACCCCACTGGTGAGCAACATCTATTCATGTCACATTTTGTACATGTGCTTTTTTAAATGACTCCTCAGCTTCAAGTTGAACACCGACGCAGCATTCAATTCGATTTACTTGGCTTGGCAACTGGAAGGTCACCAGTTCAAGTCCCAGCAAGACCAAGTGCTACCGAGGTGTCCCTGAGCAAGGCACCGTTCCCCACACTGCTCCCCGGGCGCCGTTCAAAATGGCAGCACACTGCTCCTAACACTAGGATGGGTCAAATGCAGAGAAACAATTTCCCCACGAGAGATTAATAAAAGTCCATCCTCTCAGCCTCCACCATGCTTCACCACACACATTTATCATATGGGTGTGTCAGTGTCAGAGTACCCACAAACCAACAGAGCAGCAAAATGCCTGTCACTGTGAGCTCCGGAGGGAAATTGGCAATGACACAATGATGTTCACCTAATGTGACATATTTATTTCTATTCAAACTCCCATCTGCTTTTCAGTTTGTATCCATCAGTTTACTGTCATATCGGGGGGGAAAGTGTGTTTCATTGTGTGTGTGTGTGTGTGTGTGTGTGTGTGTGTGTGTGTGTGTGTGTGTGTGTGTGTGTGTGTGTGTGTGTGTGTGTGTGTGTGTGTGTGTGTGTGTGTGTGTGTGTGTGTGTGTGTGTGTGTGTGTGTGTGTGTGTGTGTGTGTGTGTGTGTCAGGGTGCAACGGTGCGTAACGACATGGACAGTGTGTTGGTGAGTCGGGTGGTGAAAGGTGGAGCGGCGGAGAAGAGCGGCCTCCTCAGTGAAGGAGACGAGATCCTGGAGATCAATGGCATATCTATCCGCGGGAAACACGTCAACGAAGTCCACGACCTCCTGGTGAGGAACAGAAAGGATCCATTGGTGTTTCAATCATTCACAATAGTTTTCTAATATTTACCTTCAAGTGCTTTAACTGTCTTGAAAAATAATGGCGTGTACATGTAATGCCATAAAGGGCGTTATCATGTATTCATAAATGGTGATTATAATAGGAACATCTGTTCGGGCATAGCTGTTGATATTAGGTTTTAACAACGATGCATTTCCACTTCAAGAATAATGTAGTTAGTTAGAAGACATTAAAGCCTCAGACATGTCTGTCAATAGATGGTTATTGTTGGTTGTGTTTGGGTTTCACCTTGACTGTTGTTATTTTTGTCTATACAGAAACTATTTATTTCTGAAAAGAACAGTGTTTTATTTAAATATGATTTGAAATATATATATATACCTGAGCTTTTGTTCTTGAATAGATGCACTCTCAAAATAGAATCAAATCAAGTTTTATTTATATAGCACATTTATAAATGATTTTTGGTCGAGCCAAAGTGCTGTACATAAAATATAAATAGCCTACAGTAGAGACACTTTACAGCAAATACAACAGCACAGATTGTTCAGAATATCAGTATGAGAAAAACGACCCTCTATCCTTAGACCCTCTGTCCTTAGACCCTCACATCGTACAAGGAAAAACTTCCAGAGAAAAACCCACAGTTTAAAGGGAACATGGGAGAAACCTCAGGGAGAGCAACAGAGGAGGGATCCCTCTCCCAGGACGTGCAATAGATGCCGTGTGTACATCGAAGAGATAATACATACATACATAAGAATGTACTGCTATAAACTGTACCAGAAGTTTGAAGTAAAAACCAAAGTTAAAATACAGTTTTATGGAAATCGCTGTCATGTTTAATTCATCACTTCTCATCTTTTCCATCAGCAACAAATGCAAGGCACTCTGACCTTCCTCCTCATCCCGAGCTCTCAGATTAAACCTGCCACTCACAGGCAGACTGTGGTAAGTCTCTAAGTGTGTGTGTGTGTGTGTGTGTGTGTGTGTGTGTGTGTGTGTGTGTGTGTGTGTGTGTGTGTGTGTGTGTGTGTGTGTGTGTGTGTGTGTGTGTGTGTGTGTGTGTGTGGTGTGTGTGTGTGTGTGTGTGTGTGTGTGGGTGTGTGTGTGTGTGTGTGTGTGTGTGTGTGTGTGTGTGTGTGTGTGTGTGTGTGTGTGTGTGTGTGTGTGTGTGTGTGTGTGTGTGTGTGGTGTGTGTGTGTGTGTGTGTGTGTGTGTGTGTGTGTGTGTGTGTGTGTGTGTGAAAAGCCTGTCTGCTTGCATAGAGCACTAACCTTGACCCTGTCCTCAGATGCACGTAAGAGCCTACTTTGACTACGACCCCTCCGACGACCCCTTCGTGCCGTGTCGGGAGCTCGGCCTGTCCTTCCAGAAGGGGGACATCCTCCACGTCATCAGCCAGGACGACCCCAAACTGGTGGCAGGCCTACAGGGACGGAGACGAGGACAACCAGCCGCTCGCTGGACTGATTCCAGGTCAGGGTCTCCAGAGCTGAATATCAATGTGTAGCTTATTACTACACAAGGGGGGATAACAACTGCAAGGACAAGTGTAGACCAATATCAAATCGCTGAACACGCTGTATTGAAACTAAAGCGTATATGGTATGTACATTTACAATGCATACAGTTATATATTTTACAACATTTATACTTCTTTAAGTTGGTATGGATTATTTCTTATAAACCTCCAAGGGAACATCTAAAGTCTGTCACTAAGGGGAACTCTAAAATAGCAGTTTTGTGATACATGTTGCTATATATTTGTATTTCAAAGGTAGTGTTTCACACAGACTATAACTAAAAGGTATTGTTTAATTAATGTTTTTGTTTAATTGTAGATAAGACTAAAAGGCTCTGATTTTTTGGACAGCTAAAACATTACTACAAAAAACTGGATGATTCATATAAACAATAACTAACAAGTACATTTGAAACAGGATTAAGAACAAATACAACATTGCTGATTGAATTAACACTGATGCCAGAATATCAATGTTGTTTAGACCAGGGGTTCCCAACCTTCATTGTGCCAAGGACCGGCAGATACATTCAAAAAAAATCGCGGACCGGTTGTCAATTTTAACTGATGCGTGCGTGAGTGCGTGCGTGCGTGCGTGCGTGCGTGCGACAGCATTTAGTACATCCAGACTAAGATTAAACTAATTTATTTTGAGAACACCAGCATATAGGTTATGAAGTTAGCCAGATGTGTGTAAATTACTGTTCATGGTCATTTGAAAACAAATGCCGGTGAACACACAGAACACACAGAGCTGAGCAGAGCACATACGCACACACACACACACACACACACACACACACACCTTGGTGACTGGACATCTCCTTCATAAAACTAATAAAAGGAGGAGTAATCGGGCAGTTCGATGTGTGTAGAGGTGTGTGTGTGTGTAGAGGTGTGTGTGGTTAACACGTAGCAGCCTGCAGTCACTCTTAAGCTGTTCTGATGAAGGTAAACACAGCGAAGGCGGTGCGTAAAAAGGCACAGCTCTCGGCGCGCTGGTGCTGCACTTCTCAGAGGCGGAGTTACACGTCCCGCTGCCTCCTGATGCTGCAGCCATTTCATGAAGTGAAGGAGGTTTTCCTTCCATAAGGCAGCAGATACTGTGAGAGTCCCGGACATGAATTCATAGATCAAGGCAGACTGGTTTACTCTCCTGTTTTGCCAATCCGGTGCTTAAACAAATAGCTCTACACTCCTGGCCGACATGTCCTTAAAATGAAGTCCGAGTTTGAAATATATCTCAAATAATGTATGCACTGCCATTTGCCCACATAAACATAGCAGTCTGCAATTAAACGGTCTCCTGTGCGCTCCTCTTCCTACTTGGCGCACCGGTAACTTTCTCTGCGCACGAGAGGCTGAGCCGCCGAATCCCTCGGAACATCATAAAAGCCATTTTCAACGGTTTTCTGGTGAAAGATTAACTAGCTACTGGATGAAATAATATGACTGGTATCGGTGCACAAATGAAACACTTTTTGAAAAAAATATTATGATAAAATATTTGTATATATTTATAATTCTGCAAATATTACGATAAACTCACAGCTATTTTCGCGGCCCGGCAGTAACACCTCCGCGGACCGGGGGTTGGGAACCCCTGGTTTAGACTACAAAGGAATTCTCATTCCTCTCCAGTACTTCTTCAGGATGCACTCACAGTAAAGTATTCGAATGTTGTCCGTGACTAACAAGTTGGCAGCACTATCCTGGCAGGAAACACCACCCACCTGGCACATCAAGCAGATTAAAACACAACGCCTAAGAATTATTAGCGATAACTCTGTGACCCTCGTCTGTTTGTGTCTGGACCAAAACGAGGTTAAGCACTGGAAATGGAAAGCAGCTCCCTCGTGCTTTTTCCTCAGCATGCCTGGAATGTCTAGGGAGATTATGAAACACAGGGAGAGGTCTTGAAAAGCTTTGGACTTGTTTGTAATGTTGGCAAATGTCTGCTGTTGAGTGTAGTGGTCCTATACATGAAACTGTGCATGTTAGAGCGTTTTTACACAGATACATGATTGTGAAATGGAAAATACTCTGGTTCTATATTCACAGTGCTGATCTGCTTATCTTCGTGTGTACCTTTTTCAGGGAAGAGCTTCCAGCAGCAGAGAGAGACCTTGAAGAGAACTATAACTGACAGGAGTCGTGATCAGCAGGGTAAGGGTAAAATACTGAAACACACACTGAGTGGTGAGAAAATACATAAATATATTTTTGAAAACAGTTTGCATCCACCCTGAGTCACAAGAAATAGGATTTTAGGTGGCTACATGAATGTAACTAAGTGAAATGTTAATCACTTTTTAAAGCAAACATTTGTAAATTCTCATGTCTCCAGGGAAAATTTGGTATGCAAAGAAAGGCAGGAGACAGAGGAAGAAGCCTGTGTCTACGCTGAACAGAAATGCTGGTAAGACTTTTTCTCTGAATCTCTTCTGAAGCATTTGAGAAGAATTTGCCCCCCTGTTCCTCCACTGCTACGATTACAAAGCCCCTCCCTAACCCACAGAACTCCAAGTGTCGCTTCTCATTTACCTCCTGTCTGCCTGCGTGCTGGCTAGCTTCCAGCAGCCCACACATTGTGAGCAGTGTTAACCCTGAACGTTAGCCAGAGCTGACACGTCTGACAGCAGCTTGTGTCGACGAGGTGTGTCACGGGTCAGATTAGTCCTGTCTCCACAGACGGGATCAGAGCACAAGCAGGTGCCTAAATGGCTTGAAGGGATGGGTGATGTTCTTGATTAATGCAGAGAAACACACATGTACTCAGACACACACAGTGGCCAACAGAAGGGGACTGGTAGATTCCAGTATGAAGCAGGACAATGGTATAATAGACATGACATGATAAGTCAAATGTCACATTTAGTTATAGAACAGTAGCCCATGAGCTGGAAAGGATTTGGTTTGTAAATGAAGGTTGTTTCATTAATCCCTCCCGACTGTCTCTTCAGACTATGAGGACATCCCGACCTACGAGGAGATGTCGCTCTATCACCAGGCCGCTAACCGTAAACGCCCCATCGCTCTGATCGGGCCGACCAACAGCGGCCACGATGAGCTGCGGCGGAGGCTTCTGTCCATCGAACCGGAGAAGTTCGCTGTTGCTGTCCCATGTAAATCCACGCTGACTCACAATATCAAATACTCATCACATTTTTTATTTTCCAGATTAAGAAAATGGGAAATGTTGGAATTTACTTACCGCCTCAAAACATTTAACTGACCACTTTTGAAGTTGTACTATAAAACATTTTGTGTCATTAATTGTGTCAATAACAAGTCTAATTTTGAATCTGTCCTTTCTGCTGGCTCAGACACAACCAGAAACATAAGGATACATGAACGGAACGGGCGGGAGTACCATTTTGTGAGTCGGCCTGCCTTTGAGACCGACTTGGCGGCGGGGAAGTTCATTGAGTCGGGAGATTTTGGGAAGAATCTGTACGGCACCAGCACCGACTCAGTGCGACACGTCGTCAACTCTGGACGCATCTGTCTGCTCTGCCTCCACACCAGGGTGAGACACTGAGTACTTCATATTTCCCAGAGATGTTTATGTCTTATATGTTAATTACAAAGCACATATCTTGATCTCTAGCATCATGGCTAGTCCGGGACATCATTATCCTGCACATAAATATAATTGGGTTTGTTTTGGTTGATAAAACCCATTACTGCTGACTGCTATAGAACATTTTGAAGTTAGGAACGCCATAGTTAAAGTTTCATGTTTTCAGTTTGGTATTTCCGTCCATTTGACATATTCTTACGTCCCTGTTTTCCCTCTTGTCAGTCACTGCAGATATTGAGGACGTCCAACCTCAAGCCATATGTCCTCTTCATCGCCCCTCCTTCTCAGGAACGACTACGCACCCTGCTGGCCACAGAGGGGAAAACACCAAAGGTATGTCTGTTGTGACACGATTGCATTGTACTGATAAAAGTTCAAATGCACGCTGTAAATGCCATAGTTTGAGCCTATTTCAGCAAAGTGGCGGATTAAAACATTATACAATAAAAATGTTAATCTTGCATTTTGCTATAATAGATATAAAATAGATTTTCAGGGGGGAAATTTAAAAAAAAGCTTAGTCTGAATACACAATACACCACAAATACAGAATATTGCATCACATCATTAATTAACCAACTAATACTTAGCTGTTACGGTGATATCAAAAAATCATCAAATCAAATAATGACCATCCAAAAATGTAAGATTTATGTCAAATACAGATTGTTTGTCACCATCCTCTCACTGTCGTAATATCAACTCTCGTTTTCTGTGCCCAGCCTGACGATCTGAAGGAGATCATTGAAAAGGCCCGCGAGATGGAGCACGACTTCGGCCACTTCTTCGATGCGACCATCGTGAACATGGATCCGGATCAGGCTTTCCACGAGCTGCGCAGGCTGATAGAGAAGCTGGACACTGAGCCGCAGTGGGTGCCCACCTCCTGGCTGTGCTAGAGGTCACAGAGGTCACTGCAAGGAGCCTCAGGGCAGCAAGAGGTTCAACAGAAGAGCAATAATGAATGTTCCTGGAGAGGATGGACAGTGCTGGTTGTCGCTGGATTTTCACGTGTTGCAGGGATGGACTCAAGTTTCTTACATTTCTTTATGTTTGTGTGTGTGTGTCTCTGTGGGTGATTTTTATTTGTTTATTATTGATCTCAGTTTATGCAAAGTCAATTATGAAACACATAGAAATGTTTCCATCCTATTCTTAATAGTAATTTATAATTGTAAATATATATTTTCTAGACAAAAAGAGAAAATATTTTATTGTTACATTTTGATTGTGTGTTATACCAAATGGTTCGCTCAACTGTGAGAGTGTTACTGTCACAATTATAAAAATGGCTTCCAGATAAAGCGGTTAACCAAAAGCTGTTTAGGTACCAAACAGAAGAGAAGCAGCTGTGCTTAAAGGTGGGTTAGGTAAGTTTGAGAAACCAGCTCGAGTGCGCTAGAATTTGAAAATACACTTCCTTACAGAGCCCCTCCTCCAACACACACGAACGCGCACATGACCAATGAGGGCACGAGATAAGTTTGTGCCCAGATGGAAGGCTGACAGGCAGGTAGGCCATCCAGTTACTTTAGCCGGGCCGGCTCAGATGATTGGTCGTGCTTTTTACAGTACTACGGCTTCCATGGATGAAGTTTTTTATGGATTTGTTGTCAAAGCACTTAAGATATTCATTGCTATCGGGATGTTAAGAGCATTCCATGGAATATATCAAAAAGTGTATCTCGAGCCGGTTTCTCAAACTTACCTACCCCACCTTTAAAGTTGTCTTCCATTCTGAAACAGAGAAGGAAACACTGCTGTGTTTTGAGGTACTTCCTCCACACCAGTGTCAGTATTATTGTGTTGTCTCATGTCTCAACAGACCTCAAAGCTAAGGTATTGTCTCTCTGGCTGGTGAACATTATTATCATTATATCATGATTCAAAGTGATGTTTTCTATCAGTAGTGTATGAACAAAACATCCTATCAGTTAGTGGTAAAAACTACTTTTGCAAGGTACTACTTCATAAGCACAATTCTGGAAAAGTGTTAATAAATAAGCAATGTATATTCTGAAATAATTGAGTTCCCTTATCTTATTGAAGATAACATTTAAAATAAGTTGGTGTGGTTTATTCAGCCATTCTGTCATACTATTACTAATGTGGTAGATGTAGCTTTCTGGTGCAAGATGGCTGCCATTCCTCATCTAGCTGAGAGACCCTCAGACAATGTTTCTTGACGTTGAAAGAAAACGGACACCTTTGAGACTGAAAGAAATCCAGGAAATGATTGGATACTGATCACGTCTTTATTTTGATGAGGTGTGGGCCTTTGTTGACTTGCACAAGTTTTACAGTGGGGATCACTTCAGGGTTTTCTGGTGCAATGGTAAACATCCTCAAATGAGGTTACAACAACCTCCACAACACAAACTCACACACTGAAATCTACAACCACCTTAAGCTTTCCAGCATGCAATAGCTCTTAATGTTGTAAGAACATGAAATATGTACAAGTTGATCAATCACACAGAATCAGTCTTTAATTTCACTCGCAAACCATGTGATAACACATATATATATATATATTGTCTTTTTCTTTAGGTCATATTTTTAATAGTGAACTCCCTTCAGGGTGAACAGCCAAGTGCGACGACACTTCGGTTCTGTAAAGTGACGAACATCTGGAAACACACAGTACCTTTCCAGCACTGAAACAATAGAACAACTCATCACAGACAAGTACACAACAAAACAACTTTCATCACTTCCATGAGGAGACATAAAGTGGCCTGAGAGGCACGGAATAAATAGGATGCTGGGTGTCTCGTCTGCCGTGAGGTCGCTTCACTCGAACAGCATGTCCTCATCCGTCTGCTCCATCATCATGTTGGTGGGCTCTGCGATGGGACCCAGTTTAGCCAAGCGAGCAGCAATCTCCAACTGTGTCCTTTCCTTGAGCTGCTTCTTCTTCTCTTGGATCTTCTTCAGCCTGGCAGAGGAGGACATATTGTCAGTGTTAAAACAAATATAGTCGCTGAAATGAAAAGCTAGAACGGTAGAATAAGTGTTCACCTGTAGAACTCCTCTCGTTCTCTCTCATCCAGCTCTGTGATGATGTAGGTGAGGGTACGCTCGATGCGGGGAATAATCACTGCAAAGAGGGATAGAGAGCAGCTTTAAAAACAAGTCTGGGGTTATTTAAGAAAGAGGCCATAATTGTATGTTAAGTGTGAGTTTACCGTGCTCGATAGCGTTCACACGGCGGTTGGTAATCTTTATGGCTTGATCCAGAGTGACAAAAGATGTCTATAGACACAAATTAGAAATGTGTATCAAGTTATCCTAATCACACACACTCTTTTTAACTGAAAATATACTAGCATTCACCTAAAACTAATAAGAAAAGGGTTATCATAATGCATTATTATAAGTATATACATTATTGATGCATTAACATGAAAGAACCATTTAAATGTGTGTTGACGTAGAGCTAATTCTAACTCTCCATTTCACTTGAGAAGTATGAAACCAAGCTGAATGAAGCTCAGTATATAATGTGTATGTGTATGTAACGCCGCCCCCTACCTGTAGGGAGGCCAGCTCCACCAGCAGCTCCACAGCTCTGGCGTAGTTCCTCTTCAACCGGGAGACCTGCTCTCCTCCTCTGGCCAGACCCGTCAGCTCATAACCTGAAACACAGCGAGGGTGAGAACTCCTTCATTCACTTCTCACCAAAACTAGATGTTTCTAAGCATTACTTACTGTCCCCGCCTTCCTGGTAGTACTCAAAAACTGGGAGAGTGACACCTAAAAGAAATACAAACATATGTATGATAAAGCATCAAATAACTTATCAACAACATTGTTTTTAAATAGTCAACAGATGATATCTTTAGGCTAACCTGCCACGTTGTCTCTCTTGGCTCTGACCTTCACTTGAGCTTTGTTGACATTCTGGATTACAGTTGCGCTGTAGGCAGAATTACAGATGTGAGATACCTGTACTGAACATAATGTAACACCATCACATGATCTCTGTTGTTTCCTACGTGAAGTCTCCAGCTGCAAATTTGGCCTCAGCCAAAGAGAAGGCCGCCTCTCTCATCACCTCCCCCATCTTAGTCTTAGTCTGAGGAAAAGAGACGAGAAGTCCAACTTTAGAAAACCAAGTGAGAAATTAAAGGGTTGGTTATTTAATTTTGTTTAACTGACCTCGATAATTTTGCGAAGGATCTGACGGAAGCGCATGGAGAGGGCGTCAGATTTCTTCTTCAACAGGTTGCGGCCGGTCTGTGCTCCTTTGAGCCGAGCCTTCATGATGGTCTGAGCCCTGCAAGCACAAACACACATTGTAGTGCTGTATTTGAATCTTAAACATGACATCACATGTACATACAGGACTCAAATATTCATGGAGGTTATCTACACTCTTTGACATGCATGGGTAAGGAAAACACTGCCTGCACCACACAGCCTGTTATTTCAGATGTCAAGACATTTGTTTGGTGTTTTATTGTAAGCCACACACATCAGGGTTTATCATTTAAATCAATAGGTTTAATTAACCCCCCTCAGTCACATTTCATAGTATTTGACTGCTTAGAAAACACAGCTGTATATGCATTTATACAAGACTATTTGTCATGGTATTAGTGACTTGGTCTCTTTTTTCTGTCTGGATGGAGGCAGAAATGATTTAACCATTTAAAGTATTTATAAACTTGAATTAGCATTGTAAAACGATAAGGCCCTAAGCTAACTCTATTGATCAGTATAATCTAAAGTTACACAGTGTTACAGTATAGACTTTAACAGTGTAGAGGTCAGAAACACCACCTCAGACTGACAGCTCACACTGAGATGATGGTAGAATAATCACATGACAAAATACTCTTCCTCTTTTAACAATAACCTGGTGCTGATCTTATAAACTATGTGTAAGCAGAACAAGAGGTGGTGAAAATCACCAATCTGAGAGACTTGTCAAACAAACAACATTATAATATCAGACTAAAAAGCTACAGTGGGTTAGCAACTAGCTAGCAAACAAGCTGCTTACATTCTGGAGGGGAAAACGTCGAGCCTTTCTTTTCCAGACATCTTCTCGTCCTTTGATCGATGATAGCTAACGTTTGTAACCTTCCGTTTCGTTAGATTCCCGCAGAAACGTTATGTATTGTTCCACGTTATTAAACCATACATATAATACAGAAAACCCGTTGTTTTTCGTGTAGGATTAGAAGCCTGATGGTCGTGATCTTGTCCGACTCTGCGTGATGATCAGCTGGCCTCTGGTCATGTGACTGGACCGAATGCTTTCTGCGCATGCGCTTGTAGAATGATGTGACGATCTTTTCCGGGTCGAGAAATTAGCACACCCATGAATGTGAGCTAGCGGGCCCGAATTGTTCATTAAAATAACCCTCAAAGGAAATATAATCGGACATTAAGACATATCCAGAACAGAACATCAACTGTATTGTCCGTTAACATAAGACGCCGGTGAGTATTTGATGAGAAAGCTTTATTTTTAACGGGAGAGTGTTGAACAGATGGAGGTGCTAAATGCTAACTGCGAATATCAGTACATGTGCCGCATGTGAACCGGGCTGTTAGCTATGAAGCTAACGGATAGAAAAGTCATTGAATTTTCGTCTTTTGATATTTTACATCACAACAGTCACTATCTACTGTGGCTGTTAACATGCTACCATGATTTTCTGTCTTGTTTTTTTGTTTATGTCAGCTTTTCGCTCTTAACTCAAACAGTAAAGGGCTTTATCTGCATTGCATCATCCCATTCACTGACACAAATTGTGAAATAAAACACCTTGTTGCTACGTTGCCAGTTCATTCAATACTAGTACAGATCCCGGTAGTTATGTAAGGGATGATTTCAGGGCAAACTTGGCTATTTGATCTGTTTTAAAGTGTTTAAACAATGTGAACAATGTGTCATTCAGACTGCTTTGGACTTGTCAGTAAATATTCAAAGGGTGGTTCTATTTCTGATATTTTGTCCACCTATTGATGTCCTGTATGGTTTACTAAATATCACCCGGGTGTTTGACAGATCTTTATAACTGGCATTTCCCTACGAGTTGTGAGGTAGCTAATTATTTAATAATAGTCGATGCACCGGAATTCTTGCATTCAAGATTTGACATTCATGCCAATGTGGGTTTCGTTATATGCTCACCATCTATGATGAACCAGAGAATATATCGAGCTCCCAGTGAAAACACATCCCTATGACCGCTGTTATTGTGTCCTTTGTTTTTCATTGCCTGTTGATCAGTGGTACCAAACCGTTATGTTGTACATCCTGGGGATCCATGGCTTTAGAGGTTATCGTCATCAAATGAAACTGGACTGTACAATATTAAAGAGCATGTTGGGGGAAAGTACACGCTGACACCTTTTTGTACTGCTCTGCTATATGGTTAGGTCAAATGTTCTGGCCACAACTGAAGCAACAGATCCTGACTTTTACTTTCAATGTTAGATGTACAATCCTTGTATGCAATGTGATTGCATTTGTGTTAATAGATCCTCCAGATGTATAGCCCACATCTCATGTTCTGCTTTCTGTTGTTTAAAGATTAGAATTACAATCAAGTGTAATACATGTTAACTAAAGCATCAACAGTTTTCTCTAACTTTAGAGTTTGTCTACTTTATAAAGTTTCAAGGTTGCAAGGCTTTTATTGTCATGTGTGCTACAGTGTAGTTATGACAATGAAAAGCTTAGGTCACAGGCTCCTCCAACAGTGCAACACAATAAAACAGTACAAGTAAATAAAACAGAATATGATAGAAACTGTGCAGAATAGTCTATATACATTAATTGGAATATTGATATATGTGAGTTGCAAACAGATGAATGTTACGTATGTATCATGAAATCAAAATGTGGTGCAATTATCCATGTAGTTCAAGTTCATCACAATCTCTGCTTCAAATACTTTACACCCTGTTGTCTTTGTTTCTTCTCTCCCAGCGATGCCGTCGCTCAGCTGTCGATTTTACCAGCACCGGTTCCCAGAGGTGGAGGATGTGGTGATGGTGAACGTGAGGTCCATCGCTGAGATGGGAGCGTACGTCAGCCTGTTGGAGTACAACAACATCGAGGGCATGATCCTGCTGAGCGAGTTGTCCCGTCGACGTATCCGCTCCATCAACAAGCTCATCCGCATAGGCCGCAATGAGTGTGTGGTCGTCATCCGAGTAGACAAAGAAAAGGGTAAGAGCAGGCGGGAGGGTCCGGACCACTACAGGTGAAGGTCATTGGTTTAGTGTTGGATCTGGGCTTTCAGGAAGGGCTCCACAAAGGACAGGAAACGTTTCGGCCAAGGTTGCTGATGGAACAAGAACTTTTACACATGTGATAAACAGATACATTGGAAATATAGTTGAGCTTCTCCCTCTGTTCTGCAAATCTCTTCTTAACCTTGCATTGTCACGGTATATTAGTAGCATCAGTGACACTTGAGTGTATAGATGGAGTATGACGGTGTGGTTTAAATATTGTCTAGGACTGCAAGTTATTATAATATCAATCAGAAGAATGATTCTCTTAAATGTCAGTGAAAACAAGTTATTAGGGATGCACGATATTGGTTTTTTGAAACCGATACCGATAACTTCCTGCTTCTCAAGACCGATACCGATAACCGATAATAATATAATATATGTATATATATATAATATATGTACCTGTAGTTTTTGCACACCTGGTGGTAAAAAAAAAGACTAGTAGTGAGCAAATGACATGAGCATTACTACTATGAACAAAACTAGCCCTGGGGTCGTCTCTGGCAAACTTCTTTCCTTTTTCAAAAGCCTCGTCGATAGGTAAAAGCCCCGGTGCCTTTGCAGCTGGCTTTGGATTCGCCGCTAGTTTAGCAGCGCAGGAGTCTTCGTACGCTTTTAACACACCATCGTAGCGATGGCGATGTTTCAGGTGACTAATCAGGTTGGAAGTATTATAGCTCGTTGCCTTTTTCCTTCCTCGTGGAACTTCTGCATTTGTTAATACAAATAGCAAGCGAACTATCTAACTCTGAAACTTTGAAATAGTCCCATACTACCGACGACATGTTTGTTTACTGTCCTGGCTTCACGGCCGCACACCATTTACGTCACAGCCAGGCATGAGTTAGGGAGCGCTGGATTTGTGAAAAACTCCCCTCTTCCTAAACCACTAATACCACAGTACTGGCAAAACGGGAGGAGCCGAGTGAAAAACAAGCGCCCCTCATCCCAATCCACCCACACCGCAGTATTTATTTCTTTTTTTTACCCAAAAAATATATTGTATATTATCGGGGCTATTAATACTTTTATCGGGTTTATCGGGATGACGTCATAATTCCTAATATCGGACCGATAATTATCGGGCATCCCTACAAGTTATTACCTATTACTTAGTCTGATTGTATAACAGTATTTCATTTGTAGTAATGGAGGAATTGAGAAAGCCAAAATCATACTGCATACAAAACCAGAAAGTGTTGATTGATTCATCCGGCGTACATTTGATTTGTTCTTTGTATCGATTATTACCACGTTGACTGGTGTCTCTTCTGGACTGGTTTCTGTTCAGACTCAGTCCTGTGAGAATCATACCATGACCAAACTGACACTGGATCTCTCCTCTGCGTTGCCTTTAGGATACATTGATTTATCAAAAAGAAGAGTTTCACCCGAGGAGGCCGTCAAGTGTGAGGATAAGTTCACCAAATCTAAAACTGTAAGTAGAATTGTACCCGAGCACTTTCTCTGTTTATAATCAATTTCTGAAATGATTCCCAGTGTGCGTTTCAACATTGTAAAAAAAGTGATTTGTTCCTACGTACAAGCAGGCCAAAAACACTACCCTCGTTTCTTTTCTTTTCACCAATCTCTTATGAACTCTCTGATGTTTTTGTCCATCTGACCTTTGACTCAGTATCTGAGCTGACGGTTGTTTTGTCTGCAGGTGTACAGCATCCTGCGGCACGTGGCGGAGGTTCTGGAGTACACTAAGGACGAGCAGCTAGAGAGTTTCTACCAGCGCACCGCCTGGGTGTTCGACGAGAAATACAAGAGGCCAGGATATGGAGCGTATGATGTCTTCAAACAGGCTGTAGCGTAAGTGCTTCATATTAGGCGGGTTTACAAATGATTTGAAGATCTCAAATCTGATGTTGAATATCTTCCCTCCACTAGAGATCCTGCCATTCTGGATTGCCTGGAGTTATCAGAGGAAGAGAAGGCTGTGCTGATCGACAACATCAACAGGCGACTCACTCCACAGGCGGTCAAAATCAGAGCAGGTAACAACATGCTCTACATCAGAGTCCTGCACGGGTCTGAGTTTCAAGACCCGATGTGCAATACCAAACCCGCACATATTGACAATTAGTTCCGCAAACCAACCCGACCCGTCGGCACAAGATCCACAAACCGACTCGAACCCACATAGCAGTGAAAACATGCAATAATTAACACACGCAGTTGTGTATTTGGCTCAAAAAGCGTGGGGTTTTCTCCATCTAGGACAGGGGTATTCAACTCAAATTCAACGAGGTCCAGTTAGAGAAAATCTCTCCATGCAAAGGTCCGGAACTTCAAAATGTCTAAGTTGCTTTATGAATTAGTGTGATATATATTGAAGTAGCTTTATCAACGTCTGCATGTAATCAACAACTGACTGCCGATCAAATAAAGAAAGTACAATTCATAAACAACAATACTTATTGTCCATTAACATTGAACTATACAGATATACAGTAAATACTGTGGATATGTGTAATGTTCCTCTCGGGCTGCATTTCAAAATAAAATAGAGAAAATAAATAAAATAGCTTTTGAAAATATGTGCATCTTAAAAGTGCTTAATTTTAGATAAATAAAATAAAGTGTAGCAGCAGCTTGAGTTTCCTTTTTTCTTTGTTAACCGTTTCACATCATGGCTTAACAGTTTCAGCCGATTATAGAACAATATCAGTCTTTACACATCATAACAATTGAGCAGTTTAAAGTTTCTCTTTCTTTCCCTCTTATATTGCAGTCCCTCACTCACTTTTTTTAAATTCAGTGTGAGAATTGAGCTTGTCCTGCCAGGAGTTTGTAAATCTGGGCTGAAATGGAGTCAGGGCCATTCTCATACACATGCAGGTGCTCATTGGTTTCAGTGATGCAAACACAGGTATGGTGAAAAAAGAGAGAACTATTCGAAGCAGAACAAAAACAGCGTAATATACCATCTGACAAAGGCCTGTTCTATAATGCTTCAATTAACTGCTATTCTTTAATATACTCAGATCAATAGGAGACAGAGATGTTAAGTTATACATCAAGGGTTTTTATTATTATTTACAGCAGGGGTGGGGAACCTTTTTCCTTTCAATTTTTACAACATCTTCCGAGGGTCGTACAAATGATTGAACTCAACCTCTGCTTAAAAAAACTAAAATCACAGCCCATTCATTTGGCCTTTCTTTCATTCTGTGCAAAGAAAAAGAAACCAATCCAGATATCTCACCATGACTCACGCATGCATGCACGTGCACAGTTGTGGCATGACCACCAAAACAGAAAGATATGGACACAAGATGTGTGCAAATGTACTTAGTTTCCTATCCATGTGAACATGATTTAAGTGGGGGGACTTAACCTCCTCTAGGGGAAGATTTTAAATATTGAAGTTAAAAGCATCAATCTGGTGCACTTTGAGAGCAAAATTAAGAGATCTATGGATACATCTTTCAACACCCATATGAAACAGAACTGTAAGCAGATTTTTCTTTTTGGATATTTTACAAATCACTCCCCTTTTAAACTCTATTCTTGTTATTTTTAACAACTTTTTTGTTACTGTCATATAGTATTTTATACCTGTTTTTCATTTAGTCTCATTAATAACTATAATGATCATATCAAGGTGTGCCTTAACCTCACTGAGCTGAGGTTATGTGAGCCTCTCAGGAGAGAGCTCTCTTCCACCTGGTTGTAGAAAAGCTCTTTAAATTCGTTAGCATAGCTAGCTAACCAGATGCTAATAACAACGCCACTGTGCTTACAACTAAAGACACAGCCACGCAAACACTGCGGCATGTGTACGGCTCCTTATGGGTACTGCAATATTTGAAGGGCTGGAGCGGCGTTCCGGTGCTCTCTGTCAGCACTCCTTTCAGACGAGACATATACCACGTGAAGACACGTTACGCTCCTGTTGTGTTCAAGGAATCTGTCCTTGGCCAGGAAAAACAGGTACTCGCTTGTTTAATTATTTTTGCGGTCTAGATTTCTTCTTCTTTTTTAAAGTGAGAAGCTGTCGGACTGTCGGACGGACCCCCCCCCCACCAAAATGAAAACTCTTCGGTTCTCCACGAATTACACGAATCAGCGTTAAAAAAGCGGGAGGCGCCGAAAAATCCCATATTAATGTATTGATTATAGGTCCGGGTCCGTATAGGTCGGCGCCTGGGTCCGGATCCGGTCCGCCTGTTGCCGACCCCTGATCTAGGATGACACCAAAAGCCTCCCAGACGTTGGATTTCGCTCTTGAGGAAGAGTTATTGACAATGCTGTATCCTCCGTTAGAGAGCTTCACCTCAGCCATTTCGAATGTGGCGCGCTCAGCAGCAGATTGATGCGGTGCAGAGGTTAGGATTATAACATTAAATTATTATTATTTTAATATATTCATTATGCAACACCCGCGACCTGACCCGCATCTTCTTTGTTTTACCCAGAACAGAACCCGGAAAAAAAGTTGGGAAAAATACCACCTGCAAATCACTTTTTTTGCGGGTCACCCGTCGGTACCCGACCCGATGCAGGACTCTGCTCTACATGCAACATTTAAAAAAATCACTTACATTTTTATTGACGTTTTTATAAACGTACAAAACCACATATAGTTCAGTATACAATTGAAAAAAAGAAGAACATAATAATAAAAACAAGCAAACAACAGTGACATGGAAGCTTTCTACCTTATTTGTAATGCAATATCATGGTCTGGTTCCAACTCTCAATTTGTGCTGTTTTTTTCTTTTATATTCAACCCATCTTTCCCATTTGGACTCAAATGTCCCTTCCTGGACCCTCAATATGTGTGAATCCTTCCATATCAAATATTTCCTGTACTATTCCCAGCCATTGCTCCTTGGTAGGTGGATCCGCTTTGTACCATGCTCTAGTAATTGTTTTCTAGCAGCACCTAAATCCAATAGTTAACCTTAAGTTTATCTTACTGCATCCTTAAAGACTCTTAGTTGGACTTAGGACTAAGTAAAATGGTGAAGACCTACAACCATAACTCAGTCATCTTTTCTTCTCCCCCACATGCAGATATTGAAGTGGCGTGCTATGGCTATGAGGGCATTGATGCAGTGAAGGCAGCTCTGAGGGCGGGACTTGGCTGCTCCACTGAGGTCATGCCCATCAAGGTAAAATCGCCTCTTTCCCTCGCCCTTCACTGACACTGCACTCTTTCTGTTTGCTGTTTACGCTGAAAGGAATTACCGGTTGAGACCTGCTGCTTGAATAAAACAAACATCTTCTTGTTCTTGGCAGATCAACCTGATCGCCCCCCCTCGCTACGTGATGACGACGACCACTCTGGAGCGCACAGAGGGTCTCTCCGTCCTCAACCAGGCCATGGCTGCTATCAAGGAGAAGATTGAGGAGAAGAGAGGCGTCTTCAACATCCAGATGGAGGTGAGGGGCTTTACTTGTAAAAAACAAAACAATCCATGCCCTGTGTGTGTTTCTGGTACTACTTACAGTTTCCAGTTTGTACACTGGATACAAATTATTCTAGCCTTAGATGCGTAAGTGGGTCTTCTTAGAGTATCTGTGTAATTACATTTTTTTATCATTTAATATTCCAGCTATTCCTCAAAAAACATGTTTTGGATATCATGCCATTCAAATTTTAAATTTACATTTTATACTTTTTAAGAAATTGTAGTTGTTGTATTGCTACCCCAAGCTTCCATAAGTGGGTAAAAAATGACCCGCATGCATTTTCTATGGAATTTCGTTTTTTTTCAAAATGTAAAATAAAATTCTAAATAGTGAAAAATGAAATATAAAATATTTCTAGTGTGAAACAAGAGTGATTTTTCTTAACCAAAATGACATTATTCTAATACGGGTCCTTTTTGACCCACTTATGGAAGAGTGTGAGGTCCAGCTAAATACAAGTTATGTACATGCATACTACTTCACACGTCTAGTAAGTTATTAGTTATTAATGATGGACAGGCCGAACCACAACCTTTTTTCGGGTCGGTTTGGTGCGAATAATAAAGCATCAATATAATTAACTAGTTTCTTTTCAGGTTGAACATTTTCACACCCTTCTTTACCATCAAACATTATATACAGTATCTCCTACGTTTTGTATTCCTCTAAAAACTGAAGTTAAGTGTTCCTTTTTAAAATAAACTATTTACCAAAAATGTATATAACTGTTTAAATTCCTTAAATATAAAACATGTTTTTTATAAATAAGAACTTTATTCCTTCTCATAATGATGACTTGATTCTTACCAAACTGCTGGCTTTGCTTTTAAAATATTATTTGAATAATCAATCTTACACTTTATTTTCTCCCCACCAAAATTGGCCATGAAAACTACTACAGTTTTTAAATATTCCTACTTCTTTGTATTTTCAGCCGAAGGTGGTGACGGACACGGATGAGACGGAGCTCGCCCGGCAGCTGGAGAGGCTGGAGAGAGAGAACGCCGAGGTGGACGGAGACGACGACGACGAGGAGATGGAGGCCAAAGCAGAAGACTAGTCTGTCCTCAAAGGAAGGCTGAAGGGGAAAACCATCGAAGAAGAAATGTGGACAGACCTGGCCGCAGTCACTCAGACCAACAGATGTTAACTTTCACATTGCAAACATTAACTGGTGTTAATTGGCAAACGTCCCGGTTTGTTCTTTTTCAGGAGATGGTAACACAACAATCTGTCTTATGCAGACATGGAAGGAAAGTCAAATTTACAAGATAAACATCAGTATAGTTTCTATTTTTAATTAACTGATTTGATTAAATAACAAGCAGTGGCCTTTGCTTAGCTCTTGCTTAAGAGCCCAGTGTCTTCAGTCTCCATGGCGCTGTGTCTCTGGCTGGTCACTGGATGAGATGGATTTAAAGGAGGAACACATTGCTCGTCTGTCTCAACACCGGTTAGAGGTGACTTTGTGCTATTTCTCCCCCAGTTTAAGGTTTTACTGGCAACATGTGCTCTTGTTTAGCTCACATGGCATCAATAAAGTTCTGGAAGTTTTGAACTCAATGCGTCTGTCTGTTGCTGTGAGTATGAAAAGGGGTCAGAAACCTGAGTATGAAGAAAATACTAAAGAAAGACAACTTTGTGTATTATGTATACATTTAAGACAAAATGTCGGAAAAAAGTTAAAGTATACTATGTCAGAATAAAAAAGGCATAGTATGTCGAAATACATCTTTAAAAAACGTATAGCATTGTATCATGAAAAAGTCATAGTCTAGAAGTTTGGAAAAACGTCACAAGTATGAGGAACATCTAATGAAATCTAACTTAAACAGGAATAATTTAATAGTTTACAAAATGTTATAAAAAATCAATTTTATTCAAATGTTCACCAATACAAAAACAAATGGAGAGCATCTTCACAACTTCGACTCATTTCCCCATTCTCAGCTCATTTTCCTGTAGTGGTTATGACGTGTGCTTCTACAGCTGCGTCACCATGAGAGATATGTGGGTTATCAGCAGACACTTCAAATGACTACGTTTCTGAGATGGTCTGACAACATGCCAACACAATTATCAGGAATGTAATAAGTGAAAATGAAGAGGAAAAATCTGTTTACTTTTACAAAATAAATGCAAGTTGTGTCCAAAGCCCTGAATAAATAACGCTGTAAAAAAAGATCACATCTTCGCTCTTAACGTATTCATAATCAAAATCCAATTAACCAACCCACATTCAACTGCAAGCCAGATTCCAACCCCCTAAAGACAACAGCATTGTTTTTTTACAGGAACTATTTCTGCACACGAGTATTTCCACAAAGTGTGTTGGCATGTATACAAACACAATAAGTCAGCGCAAAACAATGTTCCTACCTGGTAGCATTTTACATTTGAACCATAATCAAATAATGACGTACTGTATTTACACAAAAGCACACCGACACAGTCAGCACCTGCAGACGGAGAGGGTGGAACCCCACATGAGCTGAACATCTGGTGTGAGAATCAGCAGAATCTGCATTTTACAGTTTGTCCTGGTGTGGACACAACGCTTTGTTTGGGGTGACATAATTATGCTACACTATTATACACAATGTATGAAAAAACAAAAAAGTTGATCTTCACTCATTTCACCAATCCAATCTTCTTGGCTTCGGTTTCGTAAATGAGTAACCTCCACATCTTCACGATAAAGACCTCTGCTTCTTCGTCAAGAACCTAAAGCAGGAGACAAGAGGGAAGTTAACCGAGTGAGTCGCGGCTCTCTTATCTGATCATACAAATGCCCCAAAGATAAATGTTGAAGACTGTCTTTTTTGTTGTTGGCCATAAACATATTTCTGAGAGCATCATTTCACAGATAGAAATCGTTTTGTCTGACCATCTTTTAAACAAAAATAACATTCACTTTTTCTATACTAGTTCAAGAATAAGAAGCTGCACATCCTCGAAATGAAGAAACTGAGAAAATGGTTAGCCTGTCACACATCGTGGTTTGAATGACTTTTGTTTTTCTCACGTACTAATCTGCTAAATGTCAACTAGACTAAGAAGGTCAACACTTTATTATTTGGTCATCATTTAATGATAAAAAAACATTTCAATGCTCCAACTACCTGATTGCTACAATTACATGAGCATACAACTAAAACATAGCTAACAGTGTGAAAGTCTCTACTTACCATAGCAACATCATCCAAGATACTCTGTGGCATACTGTGAGCCATCACCTGGACAACACAGAAGCATCAGCATTATTTACAGTTTCATTTCCCCTTTATAAAGTCAACTGCAGATATGATTGAATAAATACCTTGGTGCAGACGAAGTCCACTAGTGTCGCTTCTTCCTCTCCAATGTACTCAATAATCTTTTTATTGATCCACGGCCGAACACGACGGTCCATTAACGTCTGATGAGGAAAAGAGATTAAAGCACACGTCAGGAGAGAAGAGACAGAGGGTGATACATCCATGAACTTCTGAAACAGTTGTAAAGTATTTAACCAGAATCATTTAATTGAGCCTCACGTGTCAGAGGTTATGATGCAAAGCCTGTAAATACACGAATGATGGTCTTTGTTAAAACATATCACTGTACAGCTTCTCCTAAAGGCTATTATTGTAAACAATGAAAGGACCTTATTCCCCATTGGTTCTCATGAGGACATTTCTATTTGAAACCCAGTCTCATACGTATCTGCGTTGGTAGGATGTTTACCTACTGATAAAAGGTAATTGGCACATGCTTTCAATTTACAAGGACAATTTGATAACACACATACTTTTATAAATTGGTCATGAGACAAAGGTAGTCTATGCTTAGGACCTTTCTCCAAAAAGAAATGAAGGAAAAATGTATGAAGATATTTGTGAATGAGGCCCAATCTTCGTCTGTCTCAAAAGACAGTTGTCCTCTCCTCACCGTGTCGACCATAGTCCAGTCCAGAGGGTAGGCGAACAGCTCGGGCTTCGCTGTGGGGATCTTCTCTATCAGGGTCTTGATGTTTTTACGTTTCTCCTCGGTGTTGGCCCCCTTTATGCTGGATGCCCCGTCCACCCCCAGGCTCTTATCGTCGTCGTAGTCCAGGGGAACCAGCTTCCTCTTGCGAGGCTGCTCGTTGGTCTCCTCATCATCAAACTTGTCGAAGACGCTGTCCCCGGGCAGCTTCTTTCTCTTGATGACGTTGGGTTGACTGGGGCTTCCTGAGGCACCTGGAGGGGGCAAGGAGGGCATATGAGACTCATGAAGAGAACTGTGGTGGGAGGGGGTTGGTGGTTAGAATAATGAATGAGGACGTTGTTAAGCAAGCTGTGCATGTTGGTGCATGTAGGCTACTCTCAGGACAGACATGTGTGCTTCTGAATCTTGAAGTACTACATGTGTTACAAAAGGGAATCTTGGTAATAAAATTATAATCTCACTTCATATTTTCTTTGAGCAGCTAAACTATCACTGGTTTATACAGAAGTACCACTGACATCGATTAATAGCCGCTTTCACACCAAGTACTTTGCCGTGCTTAGTTCCCAGCACTTAGTTGCCCCATGGAACTAAAGAGCAGATCGCGTTCACACCGGAATAAGTTCCCTGAGGGAAGATTACGCAAATGAAGCCGCTGACGTCACTTCTTCTTCTTCTGCTTTGGGTTTACTGGCAGGCCGCGAACCACTTCACGGCGTATACTGCCACCCTAGTCCCCGAAGTTGGGGACTGGCTTCAGTAGAAGCTGCTGGGACTCCCAGCAGCTTCTACTGAAGCCTTCCGAGTAAATCACCAGAACTCCGACACCTCCTCATCTCCACCGCTCCCATGATTTTGTTTGTGTTGCCATAAATTAGTCTCGGGGCTAATGCTAATGCTAATGCCAGCAAATACAATGGCGGCTTTACAAAACTTTTCAGAGTTTGACGGGACGTGGTTTGCAATTCGCCCAGCCAATCAGAAATGGGAACTTTTTTCTCCCCAGGAAAGTACCACCTCTCTAGGAGGGACTGAAAAGGGGGGAAAAGTTCTCATGAACTAAGTTCTCTTTTTGGTGTGAACGCAAAATCCCAGGAACTATCGGAACTAAACGGGAAAAGTACTCCGGTGTGAAAGCGCCTAATTATTTTGTATATTAAATGGTGAAAAATAATTATTGGAATTTACTCTGGAATATATAAAACGAAGAGAAATCTAGTAAAAAATTTAAATTAAAAAAGCTGTGACTAAGGTAATGAGAAAAGTGAACTCATTGATAATCAAAAGTGGCAAGGTTTCTTACTAATTAACAGTTAAATATAAAGAATAGTTAAATATCTTAATGAAGTACTATGCTACCGGCAGTGGCTCAGTCAGTAGGGGGTTGGACTGGGAGCCGTAGGGTCGCCGGTTCAAGTCGCCGACCAGACCTAAAAATGGAGTGTGGACTGCTACTTGGAGAGGTCCCAGTTCACCTCCTGCCCTGCCATGGTGTCCTTGAGCAAGGCACCGGACAACCCCCCCCCCCCACTCCCATTGCTCCCCAGGTGCTGTACACTAGCTGCCCACTGCTCCTAGTACTAGACTCCTGGTACTAGGATGGGTTATAAGCAGAGAACACATTTCACTGTGTGTGAGTGTGCTCTGCATGTGTGACCATTAAAGAGGGTTTTATCCCTCCCAATATTATTATGTTATTATGTTTGTCTATGCTACAGTGAGGACTCACCCATTTTGAGGCTGAGGCCGATCTTGGGCCGGTTCTCCTCCTGCGGCAGGGCGTCGGGGGGGGAGTTCTCGTGGGGGATGATGATGCCGCAGGGAGACTCGTCCCCCGGTGAGTTTGGGGACGCGCCGCCACTGGCAGAAGAAACCGAGGGTGCTGTTGTGATGGGCCGCATTGTAGGCTTCAAACACGGTTTGACATCGGGGTTTTCTTCGTCATTTTCAAACTCCTCTTCCTCCTCCCCCTCCTCCACCTCATTGTCTGACTGGACGGGGGGCCGTGCGGCGGGTTCTGGCCGGGGCTGCTCGTGTCGGCGGTCCCGGTGTTCTCGTGAACCTTTGTGGCGTTTACGTTCCTCCTCGGGCTCCGGCTCGGGTATGATGGGAGGTTGTCTCCGACGCTCCTCCTCTTCCTCCTCCATCTAGACCAATAAGAGGCAGATGTACCGAAGATTATCATCAGATCCATGTTTTACAGAAAAAAAGATCAACAGACAATGAAATCAGGACACCACAGATGTGCAGGGATACAGAGAGACCCAGAGGATCAAGTGACCTTCACAAAGACAACAGACAGCATGCGCCCCCCCCCCCCCCCCCCCCCCCACAGACAGACAGACAGACAGACACACACACATCATGATGGAAGGAAAGCGTACCCTGCGAAGCTCTGCGTCTGGGTTTGGATGTCCCTCGTCTAACAGCCTCTGTCTGATCTCCTCCAGCTCCTCCTTCTCTCTCTTCCTGTCACGCTCATCTGCCTCCGTCTCCTTCTCGCGGTCTCTGAGACGCTTCTGCAGCGCACTGCCCCTAGGGGTCACATCGGAAATAACAGCCTTCAGAACAAAAGCCTTAGCTGCAGTACTGCCATCTGCCACTAGAGTCAGATCTGGGTCACACAGCAGACTTTGAACTCTGTTTTCACATGTTTAGGTGCCACATGGCTCAGAACTGTCATACTGAACAGAGAAATGAATACTTCAAGGTTTAGTCTCATATGTTTAGATTACATTTACAACATTTCTGACAGTCTTAAATGATTTGATGTAATTAACATATTATTCAAGGTATTTAAAGGCTGGATATCAGAAGTAAATCTGATAGGTGCTTATATTTTTGATTGACTTCCTACCTTAGTAGTATGTGACCTGCTCCATCGAAATCAGTCGCTTTTGACCCGAAGACACATTTTGAGGTGTATACACGGTTGGAAAGAGAAGATTCCTAGCTTTCTAATGATACCAGGATTGTTGTTGTACTCCAAATATTAAGCAAAATATGTCACATTATATAATGACTGTCACCGAGTCATCGTTTTGAGAAAAAGGCCTTCAAAGTTTCCTCTTCTCTGGAATCCATCGATCTGATTGATTATTAGCGGAGCAAATGATCAAAATACTACGGAGGGAAGATATTTTCGTTTGGATTACTGTGTGTGTTTGTGTAATTTTGCATTTGTGTGTATTGTGTTTGTTTCCCAGGGAAAACACTCAGGAGAAACACCGGCTGTTGTTATGCCTGCTGTGACGTCAAGTTACTTCGTTCTCCGCTTGTAATTATGCCGTTAAGCTTCAAAGCTGTATTTATCATCTGAATTTGCCGAAACAAGTTTAATATTCTGAAAGCCAAGACTTTGTTTATTTGAAATCAGATGAAAACAAACTGTAACGGACCCTGCCGTGTTATCTATGATTACTATACACCGAACATTCGGACGGTTGGCGCAGTGGTTAGAGCTTGATCATCAGATCAAGGGGTGAACTCCAGTTCGAAACCCGCCTCAGCGCCAGGCCGTTGTGTCCTTGGGCAAGACACTTTACCCGCATCTGCTCCTGTGGGTAATGTCCACAGTAATGACTCTTACATGTCTAATATGTGTAATTGTAAAGCGCTTTGAGCACCTGTAAAAGCGCTCTAATTAAAAATGTAATGCATTATTATTACATTCATAATTTCAGCCGGAGGGAGGGGGAGCGGCGCTGTGGAAGAGCAGGGGTGAGAGGTGCCTGTCATCTTCCCTTTACAAGCTTCAAAAATGTATTTATCGTGTGATTTTGGAAATAAAAGCTTCATATTCTGAAAGCCAAGACTGTGTTTATATAAAATCAAACAAAACACCCGAACCCTAAAAAACGCAAATCCACGTTTATTTTGAAATGAGCCGTTGCGACTTCCGACTGATTTCGATAGAGCGGCTCACATATTTAGTTTGATGTAGCTTACCTGTAGTACTTGGGGTCATCTCTGTCATCATCATAGTCTTCAAGAAACTCTTTCAACCGTTTGCCCTCCTTCACCTGAAGACACACACGAGCACACCGTTTCTTCAGACGAATACAGCTATTTTATTGTTATTGTCAGACTTATGAACTGAAATCAGAAAAAAGATAAAACATATCATCTGCATCAACACAATATCATATGCACATTTAACTATTGCTTTTCAAGTCTAAAAAAAGGCAACCAAGAGATGGACACATTTAAGCCTTAAAGGTAGGGTAGGTAAGAATGGAGAAACCAGCTCGAGTGCGCTAGAATTTGAAACTACGCAAAAAAATCTGCCCCTTCCTTCAGACTTCCTCACAGAGCCCCTCCTCCAACACACACGAACGCACACATGACCAATGAGGGCACGAGATAAGTTTGTGCACAGATGGAAGGCTGACAGGCAGGTAGGCCATCCGGCTAAAATGATTGGTCGTGCTTTTTACAGCGCCACAGCTTCCACAGATGACATTTTTTTATGGATTTATTGTCAAAGCATTGAATATATTCATTGCTATCGGGATGTTAAGAGCATTCCATGGAATATAACAAAAAGTGTTTCTGAAGTGAATGACCTACCCCACCTTTAAGCTCCTTAATGAAGGCCATGTCTAAGTTGTAACTGTATCATCAAATACATTCTGTAAATAAATGAACAGTGATATGAAAGAAACTGTAATCAGTAACCAATGTGCTAGGTCAGAGGTTGAAACATCAGTGGTCTTTCAACGAACTCTCACCATTTCTCGTCTGCGCTCATCGTCCCTCTCGGTCTCCTTGGCGTAATCCCGAGCCTTCTTCCTCTCTCTGAGCTCCCAGTTTTTTAGTCGCTGCCGTCACAACAAACAAGTATGCTCCATCACATCAAGGAACATGAGTAATACACATGTTGTTACTCTATTGAAAGTGCAAGGGTTCCCAGTAATTGACGTTTAGAAAGGACCAAGTAGGAGTGATTTATTCCCTATGATTTCCTACCTCCTGATAGGCTGCTTCCTTGTCTCTGAGTTTCCTCTCCAGCTTCCTGCGGTCATACGCCTCCTCTTCATCTTCTTGGTCTCGTTTCTTGTCTCTGTCTCGACTAACCTCTCTGGAAAAATAAAAAAGGTAGGAATATATTATCATTGAATCTAAAGTGGAACCGATACACATGAGAAGAGACGGGAAGATGTCCATCAAGCACTGTGCAGCTGCTGTGCAGGTCTCACACACACACACACACACACACACACACACACACACACACACACACACAACACACACACACACACACCACACACACACACACACACACACACACACACACACACACACACACACACACACACACACACACACACACACACACACACACACACACACACACACACACACACACACACACACACACACACCACACACACACACACACACACACACACACACACCAACAAACTATGTGTAATATATACCTGGCTGCTAAATCCTTAGACTTGTTACAAGGTGTGTATTTTGTAAATTGTGTAAACTTGTTAAATACCAACCACCTATGTGCAATATGTGATAGATGTGCATTATATAAATGCTGTTAATAACTGTAATATATACCTGGCTGCTAAATCCTAAGAACTGTTACAGGATGTGTATTTTTTTTAATTTATATCATATTTTTTATAATTTTTTTAATTATATCATAACTTAGTACTTTTTTTTAAATGCATGTCACATATTTAACATATGTAACATTAAGCTGTCTGTGGCTCTTTTTCCTGCTGTAACTACGCACATTTCCCCTCCGTGGGGCTAATAAAGGTATTCTGAGAAAAGGTTTTCCCCTCACCTGGATCGGCTGCGTTCGGGGGTCATGTCCCGGGTCATGTCCCTGGTCATGTCCCGGGTCATGTCCCGGGTCATGTCCCGGGTCCTGTCCCTCTCCATGTCCCGGCTCATGTCCCGGGTCATGTCCCGGCTCCTGTCCCTCTCCCAGTCTCTTTCTCTCTCTCTGGGCCTTCGCTCGCGGTCTTTATCTCTGTCTCTCTCCCGCTCTCGCAGTTTTTCCCTCTCCTGTTCCCTCTCTCGTTCCTTCTCCCTCTCGCGGTCCCGTCGCTCCCTTTCCCGCTCCCGCTCTTTTTCCCGATCCCTGCGTTCCCGCTCAAACTCCAGCCGCTCCTTCTCCCTCTTGTCCTTCTCTTCTTCTAGTTTCTGCAGAGCAAAACACACACAGGTTCAGCCGACACCACAGAAGATCCGGTGAGTCTTTGCAGTCTACGTTCTACTGTGCACAGATCAAGTGGTTTCCAGATTTAGAAAGATTTCTTACTGGAACATGCCCTAAAATAATGAGTGCAAAGCTTGTAAAGAACTTAACAGGGGAAACCGGGAAGGATCAAAAAGCTCTCCCTCACAGAGAGACACTTCCCCGTCCACCTGAAGCAGAACAGTGGGCCTGCTGCTGCTTTACACTTGCAGTATAAACTATACTTTAGCGGGAATGGAACTGGAAACCACTTTAATGGTCAAAAAGATCTGTGGAACATGTTCAACTTGAGGCATTCATAACAAAAAAGGCGCTGCAAAAGACAATGCTTTTCTCTTCTTAAGAGTCCTCCGCTCAGAACAGTGAAAACAGAAAACAGAAAACAGGCGTCAGTCGTTCGGTGAACTAGTTGTTTGTGACTTACAGGTGTTGAACTATGGATTCAGCTCTTCGCTGCCCCTACAAGCCTTTTAAGTTAGGCCTGGGAGGAAAGCAGGTCACACGTATACAAGGAAAAACGTTATGGGATTCTGTCTTACTTAAGCATCTTCATCATCATCATCATCATCAAAAACATCAACCTTTTACTTCAATATAGCATTCGGTTATCAAGAAATAACACATTGAACATCAGATACATTTCTGCAAAGATAAAGGAAATTGTAGAAGCGGTCTTACCCCTGGAGAAGCCTTCAGCGGATCATCATGACTGATTACATTTCAACACACGCACGCGCACACACACACACACACACACACACTAATTCTGCCTTCATAGGCATTACACACAAGGCTTTGAGTGTAATGTGTTTAAAATTAAAAACACAATCAGACCCAGAATGAGAGTACTCGATACAAACTACTAAACTTGGAGTATTTCCATGAATGAAAAAGTCCCTGGATCAGTCAAATCATTTCATTACAGTCATATGAAGCTCCAGGCAGTCAGCTGGTCCTCGTCTGAAAGCCTTGGGTGTAATGCAACTAAAGATAAGTGTTACACAAAAAAACATTAGTTCAGGTTAAGTATAATAACGTATGTGCCTTGACTGTAGCATAAATCCTGTAAATGATGCATCTGCTTTCTGTCTTTTTACTTACCTTTGTAGAGTCTCTACCAGGGCTTGCTAATTAAATACTATTTGGCTATAAGCATCTAACCGTCTTTGATCGTTGTCAGTTTTTAAACAGCGGCGGATGTTATTTCATTTCAATTCAAACCTTTATTTATCCAGGTGAATCCCATTGAGATCATTGATCTCTTTTTCAAGGGAGACCTGCTGTTATAAATGTTACTCTTAAAAGCAAGATAAATGAGTTGGAAAACAGTTCTATGTTTTGTGTTGTGATACAATGTCGTCAACTTCTGCTCTTTTCCCGTTTTGGTTGAATTGTTCAACTCTTTCTTAGATAGAAAACATGGACTTTGTAGTGACTCTCATCCTGTACAGATGAAATAAAAAGAAGAACTCACTGATCTATCTTGTAAAAAAAAAAAGAAAGAAACAAGGCAGAGAGCTAAGACAGTGATGGAGAGCAGGAGATGCAGGAAAGAAGTCACACAATAACCCACACAGAGAGCACGTACCTCGTCAGTCTTCAGATCAGCGTGCTGCTGTGGAGAGGGCGCCCCCCACAATAGCATTATAAAAGCTACAGCCAAAGTCACTGCAGTGGTTATTGACAGGAGTCCTTGTGCTTCAACATGAACACCATTAAGACAGACCATCATTTACAGAGGACTCGCACAGGTTCACCAACTTAAACTTTCGGGACACCACCAATAATCTCACAGAATTAAGGTGAAAGGTTTATACATATGTAAATGGCTCAATAAAGAGCATCGTAACCCTGACCCACTCACACAAAAGTGTAGTACAGTTGCCCCTATGCAAGTCCTCAAGAGGGGGACGCCCAGTATATGTATATAGTAAATAAAGGCTGATACTTACATCCTATCCTCGCAACTTTTTCCAAAGCTCTGAGATTCATCTTGCTTTAGTCACCATATGATCACTATCATAATGGTGGGGTTTAATGAATAGATTAGCTTTTAAGTAACTTTACATCGTCTCCATGCATTTGTGTGATGAATGAAGAATGGATCTATAATAGTTACACCTATAGTTTCACTACTTTGGTCACAGGTGTCAAATCAGGCCCCAGAAAGGTGGCAAAAACACTAGCTGTGGGCCTATTCCTGGTGTTTGAACAGTGAATATGTAACATTTTATATATGTGGGGCAAATTAAGATGGTTGGTGGAATAAATTGTATGCGTTGCCAATTTGCAGCGAAGTATGCATGTTAATGAGATCAAGAAAAGCTTGGCAAATGTGTCGACTAAATGTGCAAGCTCTAGGAGTGAACTATGTGAGCAGCTGCTGTCCAAAACCTGTAATGTCAACTACAGAATTAAAGAAGCCACTTTACCTTGTGGGTGTCTCGAAATTTACTAATTTCTCTGGAAATGAGGTCCCTCTTGTCGTCCTCCATATCAATGGTGTTAAGGTCGTCCTAAAGTAAAAGAAACAACAGTGAAAGAGTCAGTTAACACACATTTTAAGTTTTAACCCTTAGATGCGTAAGTGGGTCTATTTTGACCCGCTGAGGTGGTTTTCTTGAAGTATCTTTGTAATTACATTTTCTTGTCATTTCATATTCCAGCTATTCCTCAAAAAATATGTTTTGGATATCATGCCATTCACATTTTAAATTTACCCATTTTAAGAAATTGTAGTTTTTGTATTTCTACCCCAAGCTGCCATAAGTGGGTCAAAAATGACCCGCATGCATTTTCTATGGGATCCTCTAGGAACCTTTGATTCTTATCACCTGTTGCTATCAGGAATACATTCACTGTAGACCACACAGACTACATCACAAGTAGGGTTGGGCACCGAGAACCGGTTCCGGTTCGGAACCGGTTCCAACATTTCGATTCCAACGGCATCATTTAGACATGTGAATTTCGGTTCCGCTTTTCGATGCCTGAGGAAATGTTTCTCGCCGCTCTCCGTAGCCTACTGTATGACTGCGAAGGGAAATGTAGCGTTGTACCCAAAGTGTAGCGTTGTACCCAAAGTGTAGCGTTGTACCCAAAGTGTAGCGTTGTACCCAAAGTGTAGCGTTGTACCCAAAGTGTAGTGTTGTACCCAAAGTGTAGTGTTGTACCCAAAGTGTAGCGTTGTACCCAAAGTGTAGTGTTGTACCCAAAGTGTAGTGTTGTACCCAAAGTGTAGCGTTGTACCCAAAGTGTAGCGTTGTACCCAAAGTGTAGCGTTGTACCCAAAGTGTAGCGTTGTACCCAAAGTGTAGTGTTGTACCCAAAGTGTAGCGTTGTACCCAAAGTGTAGTGTTGTACCCAAAGTGTAGCGTTGTACCCATAGTACAACGACAACAACCCACACATTGCGGTTGTACCTACACTTCCTACAGCGTAACCTGAGACCAGGGCCGGCCCGTCGCACTGGCGTTATAGATGTTCGCCTAGGGCGCCAGATCTGTGGAGGCGCTGCGCTGACAGCTCTGGGAGAAAAAACGTTTTGACCGTTGGGGCTCATCATAATTTTCGGCCTTGATGTAACAACATTTATAATTAAGTAAATGTAACACCCTTTTCACCCCGGTTACACTTTTCATTTGCCCTGTACGATGGGCGCTGTAAGTGATGAAAATGGGGGATGTTGGCTTATCTGGCGCCCGCAGCTCACAGCCAAAATGCGAGTGAGGGAGAAAGGGAGGATGCACCGGTACGCGCTGTTGTTATTAGCATCTGGTGCTAGCTGCTCTAACGGAAGAAGAAGATGTTTCTACAATAATGTGGAGGGAGAGTCCTCTCCAGTCAGACTGAGGCTGATAACTACAGCTCAGTGAGGTAAAGGACCCTGAGTGTTTAGATAGTTCACTTTAGTCTAAGTTATCTCAGTGGGTCTCAAACGGTTTGATCACAATTTATGTAAACACATATTTCCAAGGCACTCCTTTATAATTATTAGGGGTGCACCGAATGGGAAATTCTTGGCCGAAACCGATACCGAAAATAGGAAACAGTTGGCCGAAAACCGAATGCCGAAAGGCCGAAAATGATAATAATAATGTATACATTTTTTACCAATGTTGTTCAGCTACCTGATTATGGAAATAGACATGATTATGGCAAAACTTAACTTAAATAATAATCACTATTATGGGTCCATAAAACATTTATTCAGCACTTTTGAATGCATACAGTACATTTATATATGTCATGTATTATTGCTAAAAAACATTATATCGCAGTCTTAGTGTCGCCAACTCGTTTCTAATATGCAAAGACAACAAATGCGTCTATGATGTATTTTCGATCAGACGAGATCTCTCCCCCGTCTGTGTGCGAGGGGGCGGGGCAGTTTACACACACGCAGCTGCTACATGCAGCGGAGCACACTGCGGAGATGGCGGAGAGAACGCGCTCCGAGGTGTGGTTAAACGTTACCCGTCTCGATGTGGAGAATACTTGTTACCATAAGTGCAATAAGAGTTTAGCATGTAAGCACGAGCAATTTGTCTAAACATTTAGCAAAAGTGCACCGCATGCAGACGGAGGAATGCACCGGGTTCGACCGTCTTTCTAGCAGCTCTGTAGCTCCATCCACGAGTAACGTTTCCACGTCAGGTGTTATGTATGCTAGCAGCAACACACGGAGTTAACTACATGATACAAACATGGGTTAATGATTAGAGGAAACTGAGTTATTTAGTTTGTTAAAGTTTCAGCTATTCTGTTTACAGTCTGTCATCAGATTATTTAATACGCCCTTTAATACGCCCTAAAAAGGCCCTTTCGGCCGAAAGCCGAAAGGGCCTTTTTAACCATTTTCGGCCGATAATTTTCGGTGGCCGAATATTCGGTGCATCCCTAATAATTATTGGGGTAAAACAGGTTTGAAATCATTCCAATGTATACTGTAGGACAGTAAACCAGACATATCGTTTTAAACTGGAGAGATACAAAAATATGCATTAATAAAATAGTAAAATAAGATATGAATGAAAAACAAAAATAAAATACGTTACATGTATTTGGCTATGGAAGGTTATTGGTTATGCTCACATACTTATTTGATTATTAAAATGTAAACCGATCTTTTTCATATGGGTGTTTAGAGTTGTACCCCCTAGATCTAGTCTCTAGTCATTCTGCTTAAAGTGCACCAGATTGAAGCATTTTACTTTAAAATGTTCAAACATTTCTTCCCGGTATGCCTGAGAGGCAGATATGCTTGTTTTTCTCAACAAGGACTGTTTTTAAAAGTTGGACTGTTGCACTGTTGTAGCTTCAGTGGTTCTCAGGTTACAGTTACATAGCAGTGAATATAAACCGACTGATTCATGTGAATATTACTGTAAACTAACCTAATTTTTTTGGTGGAAGAAGCAAGTATCATTTTTTTACCCTGCCCCTCAAAGAACCGGAATCGAAAAGTAGAATCGGAATCAGAATCGTGGAAATTCAAACGATACCCAACCCTAATCACAAGTGACACCTCTCAGGAAGATTATTTTACACAGCAAGATCTGATACCTGTCAGTATAATAAAAATAATAATAAATTATATTTGTATAGGGCTTTTCAAGGACTCAAAATCGCTTTACAATATAAGGGAAGGTTAGGGTGGGGGGTATAGGACTATCAAACTTGATCAACCGGCATGGATTGATGGGGGGGGGGCTATGAGTAGACAAGAGGAGATGAGTTTTGAAAAGGGACTGGAATACTGTGAGGGTCTCAGAATAGCGGAGATCTTTGCATCAATATGTTCAAAACGTTTTTTTCAAAATGTAAAAAAAGTGTTATAAATAGAATATTTCTAGTGTGAACCCAAATATAATACTAAATATTATACAAATGATTTTTCTTAACCAAAAGGACAAAAATGGCATAAAAAACACATTATTCTAATACGTGTCCTTTTCGACCCACTTATGGAAGAGTGTGGGGTCCAGCCACTCGTGCATCTAACGGTTAAGAAGAAGACAGAGACAGGAATACATTACATTTGGCCTACCTCTTCTTTTTTCTCCTTTCTTCTCTTTCGTCGTTGGGAGTCCTCGTCCTGTGAAGGCGCGTTGAGTTCGGAAGCATATTCCTGCATCAGTCCGTCGATAGCACCTTTGGTGATCTGATCCTTCTTCTTCGTCTCCTCGTCTAGAACCTCTTCCTCATCATCTCCTCCATCTTCCGCCTTCTTGGTCTGCCAGTACAGGAAACATCTTAGTTTAGTTTCAATTGTTCCCCCTTTGTTCTAAAGCTTAATAAATCTGAGACGTGGAAAGCAATTCAGAGATCTGAAACAGCACTAAATGTATTCTTGAGGCAATGATGATTGTACCCCATTCGCAGTCTTTTTCTTGGCCTTCCACTCGTCCAGCTGAGCTTTAGTCTTGGCATCCACCTTCACCAACAGACTTTTGTCTCCAATATTCAAGTCATGAAGCAGCCGCAGTGCTCGCAATGTGGACTCTGGCTCCTTGTACTCACAAAACCCAAAGGCTGCAAAAGATTTGAAGCAAGTTAATCTGTGTTCATGTGTGGTTTAATGAGATAACAAATACAAATAACCCCAAGTTAGCCACGATTAAAAGTATTTCCGGACCTAATGAAGCTAGATCTGTCTATTGTGCATTACCTTGAAGCTTGCCAGAGGCTCCCTGGACTCTCTTCCAGCTCAGTACAATTCCACACTTCTGTAACATGAGTACATAAGGGAAGAGTTAAAAACCCAGGTAGAAGGGGGTTACAAATATGAAAAGAAAATGCTACAGCAAAGGATTCATAGTTTCGGTTATATGTGAAAATCTGTTCCTTACCGCAAGCAGCTGTCTGATCAGCATGTCTGAAGCTTTCTCTGATATGTTCCCCACAAACACTGTGGTGGTGGGCCCGCTGTTCTCATTGTTTTCTTTGACTCGCATTATGTCCTTTTTATGCATTGGAGGCTTACTGATCACTTGCATAGAAGGCATCATTATTGAAGGGGTCATGATGCCCATGTGCATTGGGATCATTTGACCTCCTGCAACAGCAAGAAAACATATATTTAAAGTAGAGACAAAGAAGTCTTGTTTATATAGTTTACTGTATTGTAATACAATACTGTATCTGTACATGTGTGTAACTTCCAACATTGTCATTTTTCTGTCTGTAAGGCTGCAACATCTATTCTAATAATAGTTTGTTTAAAACTGTGTTTACCATAACAGTAGATCAAGTGAAAGAGGCTGTCATTTACATTCATTGTGGGACAGGTGAGAGCTTACCTGAGGCGAAGCCAGCAAACTGAGGGGGCATCCCAGGAGGGGGCAACAGCGGCCGATTTAAATGAGGGGGGAAGGACATTCTGGTTGTGAGCGGGACCAACCTGATGAAAGAACAATGAAGCCCATTAACAATATATTTAATGTTTCACATCACTATTTATTATCACAATAAACAGTCATTTAATCCACTGAACAATATTTAATTTTACATACTGGTCTTATTTATTGTATTCTATTTACATGTATATAGCCTCCTGCATTTACTTGGTCACTTGCAACATTCTCTGCAACATTTAGCTTTTTGTATTTTATGACATATATACTGTATAGTTTACTTCATCCGCATGACTTGAACATTGGTCTTATTTAGTGCGAATGCTGTTTACAGTTCTTCTTTTCTTTATTCTTCCGCAAAATATTATTATTATTATTTCACCAAATAGTTTGTCTCTCAATAACTTCAGCATACTTTCAGCTACAGAAACCATTCAAATATCAAAATATTCAGCCTTTTCAGCACATGATGGGAAACTTTCAACTTTTTTAAATATTCAGCTTTTTAAACTGTTCATTTAACATGGAACTCAATGGGAGGAACTTTCAAATCCTCTTTTACCTAGACCAGGGGTGCCCAACCTTTTTTGAACCGAGAGCTACTTTTAAAGTTGCCAGTCTGCCGAGATCTACCAGTCCAAATAGAGAGGCGTAGCCATTACTTACAGCCTACTACCAGGTAAATACACACTTCTACTTGTATAAAACGGACCTTTGTACGATTAATACTTCATAAAATACTGCAGATCCTTTATCTTACCTCTTTCTAATCTACACACATACAAGTATTTAACTGAAGTTACACAACAGTGTTGTTGATACGGAGTTGGAGTTTATTCACACGTCACTACAGTGGGTAATGTTTTCAAGAAACATTGAACAGTGCTGCCACATATGACACAGGAAAAAAGAAAATACTCTGAACCCTTTCTTTGCCATTATATACAAATAGTGTTGCTACAAAAGTATAAATTAGGCTTACTAATAAGACAACTCAGATCTGAAGCTACAGGAATCTGCTGCCAAAGTGCAATAAAAAAGACAAAATTAATAGAATCAAACCCTTTTTTTGTTGAATTTTAGTAGAGTATAAAAGGAAATGCCTTTTAAAATAGGATGCAAGCAACACTAGTTTCTTAACCTGAATTGATATAATCAATTTAAGTTTGCATTCTTATACCATTGTGTACAATAATTATAATGAATAAGTTCAAACAAACTAAAACTTACAGCTGATTAATAACGGTATCCAACTTGAGTTTTTATTATATCAAAAACCTGTTGAAATGCTACTGTTATTTTTACTGTCCCCCAAAAGCGCGTCGGCAGCCTCCAGGAATGCTTCTTTCACAACTTCGCCGTCTTTGAAAGACTTCATGTGTTTCGCAAGAACGTGACTGACACGTAGCAGCCTTGCTCTTGTTGTTGGGCCTGGTGAAAATGGACTGCTGTGCTTTTAGCTGTCCTTTCAGGCCCCTCCCCTTTTGGAGCGTAGGGCAGAATTAGGAGGGAATTCCGTCTCGTAGCGTTTGTGCAGTTTTGAAATGTCGCTCCTAAATTACCCTTCTTCGATAAAGCCACGCTCGCATTGCAGATGAGACAGATGGACTTTGAATTGGAATAGATACAAAAATAATCATCCTCCCACTCGGAGTGAAAATTATATATTTTGGGCTTTTTTGCTTCTGCCATAATTACGGTCTTGTGTGTGTGCGCGGACTGTCACTCCTTTTAGTTTTGACACGGACAAAGTCAGCGAAATAATGCCCACTGCCCACCAGACACGCCCCCACACATGGGGTCACGCCGGCCAATCACAAAGCTTTGGTGCGTTCAAGTGCATTATTCTGGCACGGGAAGATTATGTCATAGGACATTAACGATAAAACAGAATATTGTTGTTCTATTTTTAGACACATCTCGCAATCGACTGGGAATCTCCCCGCGATCGACCGGTCGATCGCGATCGACTGGTTGGGCACCCCTGACCCCTGACCCCTGACCAAATGCTACTCCTTCCACATACTTTCAGCTAGAGACTTCATTCCAACTTTAAAAACGGTCACAAGACATTCAGCTATTAAAATTATTCTTCGGATTTTTGATATCGTCACTTTTTTAGATATTTAACTTAGTTTGGAGCTTGGTAAAGAGGCCTTCTTCAGATTTTAACATTAGTGTGTATTGCGCAGCTCGTTAAGGCTAGAGTGCGTGATGTCACAGCTAGAGTTGAGGAGCGCTTGAAATTCGCCTTACATTTTTTTAAACCTGCCATAATTCCCAAACCCTACACTCCTTGGACATCATTTTTCATGAAAAACTTAGGAAAACCTCTCCTACGTTGAAAAATAAAAATTAAGCAAATACATTAAGCAAAACGCCTCTTGAGGGCATGAAGTTACAAAAACCTTCAACATGTCTCCATTAAGGCCCATTGTAAATTCAGCCTGATCTTTCCTCAGAGCAGCAGCTGCACACCTTTAGTTAATCTGCCAAAAAATGCCACCTTATTGACCCGAAAGTACACAAAAAGCACACTCGGACGCTCCACAGGCTCCTGACATGCTCCATGCGATGACATTTTACCGATAGCTGCTACGGTTTTCAAACTATAGTTAGAAATGTACGAGGTTTATTTCTCATTCAGAACAATGGAAAGGCTCTCCTTTCACAGCACATCTCCATGGAAACCTTTGATCTCTGGGCTCAGTACACAGGTGTTTGATAGTCCACCATGGTAACCTTTGATCTCTGGGCTTGCACACACAGCTGTTTGATAATGTCCTCAACACAAACGCAAACACAGACTGGAGTTTAACAAACTGTCTCAGCCTATTATTTTCTCTCTGATGGAGACTTCATACTGACTTCAACATGTTCCACATATTTTATAAATTATTGGTGACGTATGGTTTTAGTTCAAAAGTTTGCAGTTCAAATATTCTGCTGCTTTTCAAAGCGTTTTTACTTTATTTTATGTTCTTAATACACATTCATTCACTACGACTTACATTTAATATCTAACTCCTTCTGCCTACTTTCAGCCACAGAAACCATTCAACTATTACATTATTCAGCTATTTCAGGACATTGAGGCTATACATGTTGTTGTTTATACCTTTTTTAAACCTTTTCTTTTAAATATTAAGCTTCAAGTTTTCAACAAAGTCATTGCAATGCATTTCAGCTGTAACAATTTTGATTCAAATCATTTCACTTTTCTCCGCTAAGTTCAGCAACACTCTTTACTTGGTTTCTGTAGCTAAAAGCAGCAACGTAGACCATTCAACTAATATAATATTCAGCTTTTTCAGCAACATTTGTACACAGATTACAGAATTCGCACGCATTTTTAGCAGGAAATGCATTTTCTAGTTCTACTCTGTATCTTCTTGCACAATTTTTATTGTTTGTTTTTTTATATTTGCTTTATTTCTTATATATATTTATGTAGTATTGTTGGAGGATCCTTAGACTTAAGGTATTAATTACCATAACTACACTGTACTGTACATATGACAATACAGCCTTTGAATCTTGAAATGGAATGTTCTTATTATACATGATGTGTTCACAGCTGGATGAAGTCCTCCACACAATGTAAATGTAGCATTGTAAATACGTTTTTAAAACATATGCATGTTCAATGTTAGCTTATTTACATTGAAAGGACACTGAATAAAACTGCTATGCAGATGTTTCGCCAACAACGTGTGACTTTTGCTATAAACTGTGACCCTGCTATTAGTAATGTTACTTTAAGTTAGCTTTGCTCAGTGGAGTAACGTTGTTTAACTTAATACCAAGAAACCCAACAGTTTATTAACTTTTCCTTTATTTTAACGCGTCACATTAAGTGGTAGCTTAATAACGTAACGCCAATTAAAGATATAAAATAAACTACCAATTTAAATAGTTAGCTAAAGCTAGCATTAAGCACGCTACCGTACCCGGCACAATTAAATTAGGCTAAGCTAACATTAGCCATAACTGGTGTTCCCTCTAAAGAGGAACTCACTTTAGCGGGCCCGATATAAGTTTGGAATAAAAGTCAAAACGTCCGTATATACATACCTAGAATTAGGTGGCGTACAAATGGACACAAACAGCTTTCAGCAGGTTATTAATTATGAAAATCTTTTGTAACGTCCCGATGTTGGATTAGCACGCTGGCTAGTCAAGGGCCTTCGAAAACATCTACGCAGGCGCTCTACGCACCACACTCGAAGAGCGCTTGTTATGGGAATCGGGACGTAGCAGCCGGGTGGAGCTAGGTAATATTATTATACAGCCTGATATTGTAGTAAGATAAGATACACTTTGTTGATCCCAATTTGGGATTTTTTCCCCCGTCACAGCAGCATGTAGATAAGACATTGCACATTAATTAGAAGTAAAATACATTTAAAAAATAAACAACAAAACAGTGAATATATCATCAATCAATCAAAACTTTATTACAGACTAAAGGGTCCAGATAAAAGACAATATACATATATGTATGTATATATATATTGTATAATAATAATAGTTGCATCTGTCTGCACCATTGGTGAAGGAACAACTCACATTTACTTAATCATAACTAGCATGAAAATACCCTTTGTTACTCCTCCATAGATAAGGTAATAAAGGCATAAAAGTAATGTCATCAAAATATATAATTAAAGTAGCATAACAACAGTACTTATTATGCATACACATTTGTTAACTGTATAAATATAGATGTATTACTTCCCATTATACACATACATTCACTACATTCCTGTTAACCTCCATGTATACAATCAGTGTATTTATTTGCAATGCAACTGTGTATCCAAATCCTACATTTGGATACACAGTTGCATTGAAAATAAATACACTGACAAATGCATATGACTTGATTATACGATACATACTTATACTATTGTTCAACTAGCACTAGATCTAATTTGCGATCTAATTGCGTGTTGTACTTTTTAAATATAATACATTTAGCAACATACTACCGAAGATGTCCATTGCTGACCATATAATACACATGTTGTAATGAGATGTTTAAAGATGACCAAATAGTTGAGCTTTTTGGTTTAACTTTAACCATCATTCATTAGGAACAGATAAGTAAGGAGCAGCTCACAAATACCTAGTGTGTCATCTGAGTTGGTGGATCTTTATATTATTTATATATTTAATAATTGATTTAAATGCCCAAGGGGTTAATTATACCTTAGTCCTTTAGAATGTGAAGGTTACTTGTTTTATTGCCCTGGCTGGACGTTTAAGTTTATATGTAGGACACTTTCATTTAAATGCATGAACAATCACATCATTAGTACACGTACTATTGTAATACATGTATATACACATATTTAATGGGCTTATAGCGTTGGTTACCATGGTGTTTTTGTTGTAGGAACCGTGACAGCAGCTGGGCCGCGAGGGCCGCATCATGGGCCGCATCTGACAACCCGTGACGTCACTTTAGGCGGGTTTTTCATGGAAAGGTCTAGAAGAAACGAAGCACACCCTCCTAGTTTGAAATATCCCTCCATCGGATTAAAAAGACCCTAACTGTTTTCTATGAAATAAACCATGTTCCTCAGATTTTGTTTGAAAAAAATTATTAGATATGTACATATATTGCTGCTTCGATAAAATAGGGAAGTAGCCATGGAGCCTAGTCAGTCATCTAAAATACGGTATATCCACGATCCATTCTAGAACTATCCTTTGAATAATAAACTACCACAAGGTGGCAGCAATGATGAGTTGTGCACAGACTGTTAGTTTAAATCATAGACTGGTTTAAGGGTTTAAATGCATTATTTTCTATGATATAAGTCGTATCCAACAGTTTTGGATAGTCTTCTTAAACATAAAACGTATGAGACTTGAATTCTTACTATAATTTCCAACGACTGCACATCACCTAAAGGATTTTTAGATTTAGATTTAATACATTGTATTGCACTGCATTGTATTTAATTTGATCGACTTATTTTAAAGCTGTACAGCCTAATAACATCAAACATAGTGAGTAATAACAACCTCTTCACACATAGATGTCAACAATCCCATTGATCTTAAGTCATTATTAACCCGTTTTATACCCAGACTGGTTCATCTAGTGGTGGATGGTGCACCGCGGAGGGATATGGCCGCACAGTGAAACGATTGTGTATAAAGATTCCGGTCTATTAAAAGGAAGTTCCTTTCCATTTCCCTGCGTCAGAGAGCAGAAGGGACTACACATTGGTTGCATTTTATTCAAGATAAGTCAACGGAATAAACAAGGTATGTACACGGGAGTTTTGCTTGATTGTGAATTACATTTTTCCCATTTTAATATTTGTTTTCTGCAAGTCACCATCACTAAACTATGGCTGGATATAACCACGATGGGAGCTCACGAGTCACGACGATAACCTTAGCTTCATAACGTGGTCTACAGCTAGCATTTTCATTTTCAACCAGTTTTGTATCTCAAATGTTGTATAATGGTAAATTCTTACACTAGTATTTTCGTCAACTGATACACTGTTCGATGCTGAACGGTGTATATATGCGACACTTTGCCGCACTACCAGGCCGAGCTTCGGTTTCACTAAAGCAGGTGTGGTGAAGATGACAACGGTGACTTGGGTTTATTTAACAGCCATGACGATTAAACACTCGATACGACTCGTCCAGATACAATTAATTTCTATATCAACCCGTTCACATCGAAACATTTGACGTTAAACTCAAATTCTATAGCCGTTAAGCTACCGTTAACGGTGCTCTCTTTTGCGTCAACGATTTTCACCTAACGTCAATTCGACTAAGCTAACTTATATCAAACTGAATTCATGCTTATGGTTGTGTATATTGCTCTTGTACTTTGCTTTACAGTACCTACAATTACATTGTTTTGGCTTTTTACCTAGGACAAAGCCGCGTTTTAGTAACTGCAGAGTGCTCGTCGTCGCTCAGAGGCTTTTAACGTTACACTTTAATAACGTTGTGATTACAATTAACTGTATAGTGCCGTATTCCTTCAATGTATTTTCAATTTCCTCTATAGCTGTACCTCAGCACGTGTTTGCGGAATCCATTGTCTATCAGTCGACGCCATGTTGGTTAATGGCTACTTCCGCCGATTTGTAGCAACCCTATGGCAGCTGTCCCACATGTACGAAACTAGCTCGTGGATAGAAATGATGATCATTTTATGGGCAAATGAAAGCGAAAGATTTAGCGCATTCAAAGTAGAAGGAATGTAACGCTAACGGCATTTTAGTCTTTCAAGATCTATGTTTGTCAAGTATTGAGTCATTGTTTTGGGTGTGTATATATAGATAAGCATATTGTGTACCCTTTTTAAAGCTTATGGCTGCTTATTAATAAATTACATGATTTCCTTTTTGTGCAGATGCCTGAAGAAATGCACCAAGAGGAGGAGGCTGAGACCTTTGCCTTTCAGGCAGAGATCGCTCAGCTGATGTCCCTGATCATCAACACCTTTTATTCCAACAAAGAGATCTTCCTCAGGGAATTGATCTCTAACGCCTCTGATGTAAGTGTGCAGGAAAATTGCATTGTTTTGATCGATCTTGCATATGCACAGAACATTGAATAAATGCCTCTCGTGGCACCAGTCATAAATGTGATACAGAATTATTAGAAACGTTCATGCTTCAAAATGGTAACAGGTCTTGATGCCTTTTTTAATGTTTTATTTTATTTTCTAAAGGCTTTGGACAAAATTCGCTATGAAAGCTTGACTGACCCCACCAAGATGGACAGCGGCAAGGATCTGAAAATTGAAATCATCCCCAACAAAGCTGAGCGCACCCTGACCCTCATCGACACTGGAATCGGCATGACCAAAGCCGACCTGATTAACAACCTGGGTACCATCGCCAAGTCTGGCACTAAGGCCTTCATGGAGGCCCTGCAGGTACTGCAGTGGAACATGATTTAGAATCCTTGAAAAAACATCCATGTAATCTCAGTATTAGTCCTAAATGATGCTGTATACAAAGGTTATAACTTCTGTTTTCCTTATAGGCTGGAGCTGACATTTCCATGATCGGTCAGTTTGGTGTGGGTTTCTACTCTGCCTACCTGTGTGCCGAAAGGGTCACTGTCATCACCAAACACAATGACGACGAGCAGTACTGCTGGGAGTCCTCTGCCGGAGGTTCCTTCACAGTCAAGGTTGACACCGGTAAGTGTCCTGGCACAGTTGAGACTGCAATGTTCATAATCTGTTATTTACAAAACTGAAAATGTGTCCGTGCTCACATTTATTTTTAGTGTAAACTTTTGGCATTCAGTAACATTGCAGAAAATGGTTATATTAAGAATTGATGCTTCGTAAACCTTTTTTTAGTAGAGATATAGCCAAGCTCTTTCCTTAACAAGACATTTTTAATTTTGCTCATGACTGTTCAATTATTCCCAGGTGAGCCCATCGGCCGTGGAACAAGGATCACCCTGCACATGAAGGAGGACCAGATCGAATACATTGAGGAAAAGAGGATCAAGGAAGTTGTCAAGAAGCACTCTCAGTTCATTGGCTACCCCATCACCCTGTTTGTAAGTATTCTATTGCATCTAGCCTCTTTTAATACGTTTGGCAAGTTATTTGCGTATCAGTGAAATTAAACATTTTTTATTTGTTGTTGCAGGTTGAGAAGGAGCGCGAGAAGGAGATCAGTGACGACGAGGCAGAAGAGGAGAAGGCAGAGAAGGAGGAGAAGGAAGAGAAGGAAGACAAAGAGGAGGGTGAGGAAAAGCCAAAGATCGAGGACGTGGGCTCAGATGAGGACGAGGACTCCAAAGACAAGGACAAGAAGAAGAAGAAGAAGATCAAGGAGAAGTACATCGATGAGGAGGAGCTGAATAAGACCAAGCCCATCTGGACCAGGAACCCCGATGACGTCACAAACGAAGAGTACGGCGAGTTCTACAAAAGTCTGACCAACGACTGGGAGGATCACCTGGCTGTGAAGGTAACCATGCCGACACACGAGCAGCTGAGCTGTTAAACGGTTCATATGTGACTGTAGGAAAAGCAAAACTAAGTGATTATCTTTGTTCTTTGCAGCACTTCTCTGTGGAGGGCCAGCTGGAGTTCAGGGCCCTGCTCTTCATTCCCCGCCGGGCACCCTTCGACCTCTTTGAGAACAAGAAAAAGAAGAACAACGTCAAGCTGTACGTCAGGAGAGTCTTCATCATGGACAACTGTGAAGAGATCATC